TCGGGGCAGTTAGCACATCCTCACTTCAAACGTTTTTTTTGTGGTGAGAACATTCAAAATCCTCTCTCATGGCTATTTTGAGCTGTCAGTACATTATAGTTAAGGATGTCATCCTGCTTGGTAACACCAGAACTGTGCAATGGAACTCCACAACGTGTCCCTTCTTATTGTAACTTTGTCCCACTTTTGATATTGTTCCGTATCCTCAGATAATGTCAGGCTGCTCCCTCCGACATGTGTTTCCCCTGATGTGCCACCTAATGAGTTGAGAGTCTATGGAAGAAGACGGATGCTAAGATTCGTTATTTCATGGAATTTACAAACATCACTATGAATTCATAGATTATTTACACTTAAAGTGTCTCAGTTCAGGTATCTCAATATGTCTCAGTTATTCTCTCTAATGTCAAATTATCCCTTTCTGCCAGTGGGAGCATCTCCGGGTGGCCCCTTTGTCTTGTTGACCACTCCTTGGTCAGTGGTCCCAGCTTTCTCGCTTCCTGGCTCAGGAGGCTGCTGCTGGCTGCTGATGTCCTGCCCCTCATCTGGAATCTGCACCTTTTCTAAGAAGGTGAGTTTCTTTCATCCACTTCACCCCTGCTCCGGTGGAAAGTTGTGACAAAATAAATCCACAATGGGCCTTCCTAGAAAACCAGGTGTCCTTAACCTCAGGACTCTTTTAGTGGTAAGCTTACAGCTAAGCTGCTTTGTATTTTTAAATTAGTTTGTGATTAACATATCCCCTTGGATGCTACCAAACCCGTGTGGAAACCCTCTTATCACAAACTGATGGGAGGCTCGAGGGCTCCGGTTTCCTCAATGCTTTGGATAAACAGGCTTAAGAAATAATAAGCTTTGAGTCAAATGTATGAAAGATGATATGTCATGAGCTTTGTAATGTTTTGAACAACCAATAAAAAAAAGAAATAATAACTTGGTCAGGAGAATATTGCTTGCTAATCCAAACTTTAAAAAAAAAAGAAAGCTGAGAATTAAGGCAATGAAAATCTTAAAAGACTCTTCCCATCATTCCCAGATAGTGCTCCAGGTAACAGTTGAAGGATATTCTTTCTGTCCTTTCTTGTTGGAGTCCCTCTCCAAAGAAAAGCAGTCTAATCAAAAAGTTGACTTGCTCTTGGGATTGGAGAGGTTCCATGCTCACAGAAATTCTAATTGCATTCAGATTTTTTAATGAAGAGTTCACTTTGGTAAATGAAAACTGTGTGACAGTCCAGGCTGCCAGCTGAGTTCCAGGGCCTGCCTGCCTACCAGTCCTGATGTCGAGGAAAGGAACAGATTTCCTCAGCCATCGCCAGCCTCATGGTGCGGCCCCGATGACAAGAGTCAGATTAGCAAGGGGAAAGCATGCACTTGTTTAACATTAAGATTTACATGACACCATAACCTTCTGAAATAGACCCCAAATGCAGGGAAAGCTGTTCATCTTTATGCTTAGTTTGACCAGAGTGGGCGGTGATGGACGGTGACAAGGAGGAACAATTGGACAAAGGGGCACTCAGCGGGTCGTGAGTCCCTGTGTCTTCAGAGAGAAGGACGCTCCTTTTCTGCTGGCCTAGGGAGGGCGCCTCTCAAATGAGGTGCTGCAGGGGAAAGGATAAGTGGGAGATGAGATGGGCTACTTCTGCTTTCTTGAATGCCAAGGGGCCATATTTGAAGGTGGCAAGTCCTGAACCCCAGCGCTAATTTGGAAGCCTTTAGACCAAACCAAATACTTGAGTTTAATTTTAGATGGAGTAGTAACACAGTCTCTAAAGACAAATGCTGCCGGGGAGGGAGAAAACCTGGCCTTAACTGAGTCTTCTTAAAAATGATGCCTAGAGATGGGTGACCCTGTGAAGTCTTCCGGGTTACCCTGGTGGTTTGTGTTAGGCTCTTGTCTTTTAAGAGCTCACAGTCCAGTCCTTTGTGACTTCTACACTAGACTGCTCCATGTGAAGACCAGAAGTGGAGGAGGAAAAGAAGCGCTACCCAGAGAGAGGGCGCCCTGGGACCAGAAGCCAGGGAGCCATCCTCCTGTCCCCTCCTCCGCCATGGAGGATTCCTGCTGTCTCACCACCAGTCTAATCCCAGCTTCCTGGCTCCAGGGAAAGCAGCCCAGAGCCATCATTTTGTAGGGAAAACAGAAACAATGCAGATAAACAGCTACGAGCTCACCTCGGGGGACGGAGCCCCAGGAGAGTTCTACTACTGTATCCTCCCTCTGCTCCCCTGCTCTCTGGACTTACGAAGTCTGCTCTCTCCAGCCCTGCTTGAGAAGAAGACCTCTGGTCTACACTGGGCAGGCCCTCTGGAGTGGTCACACTGAGGCAGACAGAAACCACTCCGGCTATTCCTGGTGGTAAGGAGGAGCCGGGGGTGTTTGCTCTGGAAAAGACAGGACACCCAGCTAAGAGGAGCTGTCTTCCCCTATCCACAGTTTCACTTAATCCATCTGATTCCAGAAGGGAGAATAATATCCAGTATATGGAAGCTTCCAGAAGATGAATCCTGAGGCACTGTGAAGACTCTTCCAGCATCAGTAATGGCCCAGCAATGGAGCCCACAGTTCTGGGTCAAGCCAGATCACCCGCAGCCGGGAGATGAAAAAGATAAAGGTGTGAGCAAGGAGGGCCGGGGAGGGAGGAAGGAAGGAGGCAGAAGGGAGAGAGGGAAAGCATGTCATGGGATGATGCTGATACTGCAACCCGCCTGCTGATAGTCCTGGGAGGTCGCATGCATCAGCTCTGTGACCCAGGTGCAAACGCCACTTCATACAGAAGTGTGTGCCCAGGTGACATGGATACTTGAGGGCCAGGCTGGCACTGGTCAGGCTCTGTTCAGTCTCCTCCTCACCTGCCTGCCTGCTGCCACCACCCCTGTTAGCTGCAGCGAACACAGCCTTCCTCACTGTGGGACAACCTGACCTCCACCTGTCAGGTAGATGTCAGCTTAGCTCAGGGGACCACTGACCCCATGGCACCAGATACTGACTGCTGAGGGTGTCCTGCCTACATATGTTAACCCCAGACCCTGGTTGCTGGTCGCTGGCTGGCACATCACCTGTTCCACCCTGTGGTCCTCTAAGTGCCTGAGGCCTGCCTTGCCTGGGGTGGGGCTCATCCCCTAACTTCTCTTCTTGACTGCCCCCTGTCTTCCTGTGGGGGAGCCGAGACAGTCTGGGCACAACTGGACTTCCTCAGTGCCACACAGAAGATCTCTAGGGACAACGTTTATTTACACTACAAAAGAACATAATAAAAGATTGAGAAATACTTAATCAGAATAGATTATCAGGTTACATGGATTAAATGATCATTCGGCATTGGGTCAAATTACCCTCTGGTCACACTTCTGCACATTCATCCCATAAATGAAGTGACAAAGATACTGGATGCCAGATTAAAGTTGCAAGCATTGAGTTAGCTCCCTACTGTGTTCCACCTTCTCTGTGGCCTCTCCTTCTCTAGGAGATCTCTGCCAATGTGGCTTCGCTGTAGAGTCCTCTGTCACCTAACAGGATTGATGTTACCACAGCTGACAGAGCCTCGGTGGAAAGTGTCGGCCGGCTGTGGAAGCTGATTGCTATAAGTGATCTGAGGTCTTGCCCTCGCCTTATCTGATCCTTTCCTCTAAGTACTGGTAATGAATTTCGACCTCACTTCCTGGCATGGTGCTCTCTCCTGGCCTCACCTGGAGCCCTCTTGCCCACGGCATGAAGACCTGGCGTCCTCACCCAGGCTGTGTTTGTGAGCCAAACCCAGGTGCAAGTCTTCTTCTGGTCCCTGGGAGAGGAGTGAGGTTGGACGACTGTAGTCACTTTAACTCACCCTCTCCCCAGGCCCTCTGCAGAGTAACAGAACACCTACACAGAGGACAGGCCTCAGCTTCTGATTCATTCACTTAGGACTCGGGCTGCCATTGAGGAAGCCCCTACACTCTCTGAACTACTCACTTAGCAAATGGCCAGTGGCTTCAGTGGCAGAGGCACCGCGTAGCAGAGCCCCTCTCTGAGGCAGGGGAGAGGTCACCTGAGGGCTGCACTGAGGCTCCTTCGGGTCCCTATCTCAGACCATGCTGTTATACCCACTGACTTCAGTAAAGGAGGAGGAGGAGGAGGAGGAGGGGAAGGAGGAGGAGGAGGAGGAGGAGGAGGGGGAGGAGGGGGAGGAGGGGGAGGAGGAGGGGAAGGAGGAGGAGGAGGAGGAGGAGGGGAGGATAAAGAAAACCAGCTAGATTCAAATTCTGGTGTTTTATCCTGCAGATGGATCAGCAGGTCACCTTTTCTTCTGGGCAACATCAAAATGCCCTGGGGACCCTTCAGTGCAGCAGTAAAGTCAGGCCACCTGCTCCCCTTGCATTTCCTTGCCCTCACCACCATCCTAAAGAGACACCCCTAATCACGGCAGAAATGTCTAGGCCAAAAAGACAACACACAGAAACTCTGTCTCCTGCATTGGCACTTGACCAGTGCGTGACGAGAACATGTTAAACTTTGCTCACAAACAGGTGGAAGACAAAAATGCCAGACTGGAGTAATCACATTATAAAAGCAGAATTTCAAGATCTGGGGAAAATCAAAGCCAGCGGCCACAGCATGCTCCTGAGCGCCCCTGTAGGAGCCCCGCAGTAAAGGGGGCTTTGAGCAGGACCTAAGTGGGTGCTGGCTGGAGACCCTGCTGCACCCCACCTCTAGAGGAAGGTCAGCTTTGCGGGTGAAATGGGGATATGTTAATTTCCTGGACACTTAGTGAGCTGGGGGAAGATCAACAGGCTGCAATCTGCAGAGGGACTCAGATTTCTCCCTGTGGGGTACAGAGGAAGGATTGTTTTGGTGCTGATGTGAGGCAAACTCATAGAGAATGATGTTACAATAAACACAACCTTGGCCCCGGGGCCTGCTGCGGGCATTTCCGGGCAGCCGCAGGACCTTCTTCCCCCGCTGGAGAGGTGCTCAGGGTGAAGTTGGCCAACCAAGGAAAAGTCTGACCGAAGGCTCATCCCTTTCTAAAGTAAACTAACTCGCACCCTTTGACTTTTGGTCAGGAGCTGTGCTGAGCTGGCCGCGGCCGTTCTCTGCAACACTTGGGGCGGCGCAGGGGAGGCCTCGGGACCGCCTGCCTCCAGGAGCCATGCCAACTGTGGATGACATCCTAGATCACATAGGGGAGTTTCATCTTTTCCAGAAACAAACGTTTTTCCTCTTAGCTCTGCTCTCTGCTACCTTCACCCCCATCTACGTGGGCATCGTCTTCCTGGGCTTTGCCCCCAGCCACCACTGCCGGAGCCCCGGGGTGTCTGAGCTGAGCCAGCGATGCGGCTGGAGCCCAGCAGAGGAGCTAAACTATACAATGCCCGGCCTGGGGGCTGCGGATGAGGTCTTCCTCCGCCAGTGCATGCAGTATGAGGTGGACTGGAACCAGAGCACCCTCGGCTGCGTGGACCCTCTGGCCAGCCTGGCTGCCAACAGGAGCCACCTGCCACTTGTCCCCTGTCAACATGGCTGGGTGTATGACACTCACGGCTCCTCCATCGTCACTGAGGTAAGTGAGGACTCAGAACAAAATGCAAATCATTGAGCTTTCCTGAAGGAAGGAACCAGGAAAGGCCTGGATTTCATGACTGTGCGCAGACAGGGTCTTTGGCTCCATGTCTGCACAATCCTAGTTTCCAAGTGAAAGCATGCAGCTCCTAATTTGTTTGGAGTACGCGTGGATTAGTTAGAACTTCCTCACATTCTGATGATAATGATTTTAGTTTTCGCAAGTCTCAGCAGGACTCCTGGACAGGTTGCCAGGGAGTATTTCCAATCTTCCTGGTTTTCAGAAGCCCCATGGCTCCCTCTGTTCTGTCACCCGCGAATAACACCTGGAAGCAGGTGGCGCCCAACTGAACCATGATTTAGTGTGTGAGGAGATGAGCTTTTCTCTTGGTGGCTTTTTTTTTTCTAATTTGCTCAAAGTATCCAAGTGATCACAGCAAAATCTAATTGTGCAGCCTGGTTCCAGCAAGAGAAAACGTGGAGGCAGAGCAGAATGGGAAAGTGAAATTATCCTGAAAGTACAGACAGAGCCAGTTGTCTAGCTTAGCTGGAGAAGACTGTGCGTGTACTGTGGAGAGCTCCCAGGTGGACCGGTATTTAGGGAGAGAAAACTGGTTAGAAAGATCTGGAGAAGTACCAGGTAGGGCAGAGGCTCAGGGCTCGACACCGTGCAGCTCTAGGAGGCTCCACAGTGTGGCTGACTCCCCTCCTGCAGAGAGGAGGAAACTGAGGCCCAGAGCAAAGTTCTGCACCCAGCCCCAGGGCGAGTGGCAGAGAGTTAGTCTAGATGAGTCTCAGGACGTCCAGGCCAGCGCCTGTTCACCCCAACCCTGCCTCCTCCTCCAAATAAAAGCAAATGCGACAGCCACTAGCAGGACCCATTGAATCCCCCTACTACTAAAAGGGCAGTTAAGAGATGCCCACTGCACAGTCTCCTGCTGGTTCTTGAGTATCCTGCCCACACACCTATTGCCTGTGTGTTAAAATTTAAAGGCAAATGGACTTGTCTGTAAGTGGAGCAGTTAGCCACTTCAGCTGATGTGGTGCACGATCCAGATGAGCCAAATGACATCCATCAGATGGGAGGCTACGTGGATTCCGGGCCAGTCTTTGGTGGGGTAAGAAAAAGTTAACATGGTCAAGACCTAGTTTGGTTTTGTCACTTGGCCGCACCAGCTCAGTTCAAGGAAGGGTTAGCAAGCTCCATGGCTGAGCTGTTCTCTCAGGATCTAACCGGGATTTGTTTTCCTTCCCACCCCCACCCCGGCTTGGAACACGTCGCACCTCTGGACAGTTTAACCTCGTGTGTGCCAACTCCTGGATGCTGGACTTGTTCCAGTCTGCAGTGAACGTAGGGTTTTTTGTCGGTTCCGTGGGTATCGGCTACCTGGCAGACAGGTAGGTGAAGCACCTGTGGGCCACTCAGGTCCCATGGGTCCAGATAACCCTGGGCTCCCTGGGGCTGCTGGAATCCTTCCTCTCCCCAAACACCAAACAACTCGCTACCTCCTGCCTGGTGTGGGTTGTTGGTATAATCTTAAGTTTCTTTTGCTGTGCTGTTGACAGTAACGACTCACGTCTTCATTCTCAGATTCTCTGGGGTCAGAGAGGGATGCTTCCTCACCAGGCAGCACTATTTCCTGCCAGGTGTCCAACAATTCAGTTATTCTCTCTACAAGAGAGAGCAACAAATGATTTCATCCCTTTTGTAACTGCCAGCTCATTCTTTGGCCTCATCGCCCCCCACCTTCATGAGCCTTCAGGCCGTGAGCTCTGACCCATCCTGCTCTGTCTCCTTCACCAAGCGCCACCGCGCCAGGCCAGTCTGGAATATCCCCACTGCCTCTCGGATCATGGGATTCCTGAACTGGGTCCCTGGGCCAGATGGGGCTCAAAGCATGGGACCTAAAACATTGCTAATGTTATGAAAGGGATGTGGGGTCTGTCTACATTGGGAGAGGTGCAGAAATTCCACCATGTCACAGTCGCTGGAGAGAGATGAGGAAGGGCCTCTCACACCAAACGTCCTCAGAGGACTCTGGGCTTCTGTGTCCCCGTGTTCAGTATTCACAGCGGCCAAGCTGTCTCTGTGTCTCTTATTCACCCCTCGTTTCGGGATCCCACGCTCACTGCAGGTTCTCACATTGTGCACCTTTGCTCTCTTGATGTCCGAAGTGATGTATTTAGGGGTCCTCAAAAGGGAAAAGAATGGGACCGTTTGCTTTGTCCCGGATGAACACTTAGACAACTTGGCTCCAGGGTCAAAGGTGTAATAGCCATGATCCTGACTGTGCACTGAGTGTTTTCCGTGTGCTGTGCCCTGAACTCAAGGTTTTGAACAGGATCACACACTAAGACGGTGACGTGTAATTATACACAACTGCATAGTGAATAAGTACAGGCTACACATATATAGTTACACATAAAATAAAGCTATATGTAACTCTCAGATCAGTGGGGAGTACACTTGTGCTCACTGCCCCACATTGCCCTACCCATCTCTGATCCAGCCCCGACCTGTGAGCACAGCATGAAACATAAGCAGAATGTCTTCTCTGATGACGTGCTATTTCAGGCTGGATTAGAACTTGTAAGCCTGCTAAAGATGCACGGGGACAGCTTAATGACTTTACAAGGGCCCGGGGCGACCTGGCAGCAGGAGAGAGGAGGATGCAGAGGAGGAGAGAGCCAGCGGGCAGCTGCAGCCGTCACAGCAGGTTCATAACCGCCGGGAGTCTTCCTGGCTTGCTGGGGGAGGCCTGGGGGGAGGAGGAGGGGCGTTTGTTTTTATTTCTGTTGGCACAGAACGGGGACCAGCTGTTTGGAGATGCTCATTAAGTCAAGATGGACACATTGATGAGAGAGGCCCAGGGTCCAGTCTTGCTGCCCTGGGAAGCTGGCCACACTGCTCAGTGCTCTCCCCTCTCCCTCCTGCATGGCCAGGTGGAGACACTGGCAGCCCACGTACCGGGAAGGATGTGAACACACAGGAGACATCCTCACCCGGTGGGCTGAAGACAGGAGTTAATTATTCTCATCCCACTCGAGAAGTGGGAGGAGATTCCCGCTCCCTGCCCACGGGGCATTCTTGAGTCACAATTCTGTCAATCACCCTCCTCCTTACATGACCTCATCGCTCTGCTCCTGGGGTGGAAATCTCTGGAAAGCTGGTAACTCACTAATTTTCCCTGAAAGGCTGTATACACGCCTCTATTCTTCTTCCTAAGCTTTATTGAGTTTTGATGGCACTTGCCTCTTCTGTGTCATGGGTGCAAGAGCAAAGGGGGACCCAAAGCAGTAAGACAACCCCCATAGGCTTTGTAAAAAACCAAGCCATTTATCTTTTGCTTACTTAATACCCATAAGTTCAATGGGCCAAGAATCTCATAGAGACCTAGTTTATCTACAGATCAAATCGACATTAAATAAAATGTATTGTCTTCCACACACATAAAACATTAATATGCCTTAATAACTGACTAGGGTGTCTTTTAGAAAAAAAAACAGAAAGACATTTATGAAAAGGATATAAATAAGAATTTTGGGGGAAAAGGAGGAGGGAGGAGGGGGGAAGGGAAGAAAGGACTATCGCATCTCACGGCAAGTTGGCTTTTCAGGGCTCAGCTTTACAAAAGAAAGCAGGCATATGTCAGAGAATTTGAAAATGAACCTTTTCTAAGCTGAATAACTTGTTTCTTCACCCATGACCTCCTAAGGCAGGATTTGAGGATCTCCTGACTCATGAAAAAGGAGTCCCACCTCAATTCCAGGTTTTTTACTCAGTGACAATAAGGAGAACCATGCTTAGAGCCAGGCTTGACGATGTTTAACAGGTGACTCTCTGAGGGGGAATTTGGGCCTTTTCAGGCTACCAAAGTGAGGTCACTGGACACAGGTGGCCATAAATGTGCACTGTTCTGTAGCATTTCCACCACATAGGCACAGTATCCTGGTGAGCATAGATGGTCACATGCAGCAAAATAATTAGGAAGCAATGTTTTGCATGTTTACTACTTTTTTTTTTTTTTGGTACCAGAGATTGAGCCCAGGGGTGCTTAACCACTGAGTCCTCCATCCCTAGCCCCCTTTTTAATATTTTATTAGGACAGGATCTTGCTGAGTTGCTTAGGGCCTTGCTAAATTGCTAAGGCTGGGTTTGAACTTGCGATCTTTCTGCCTCAGCCTCCTGAGTGCCTGGGAGTACAGGCGTGTGCCACCGTGCCTGGCTTTTTTTAAAAAAAAAAAAAAAACACTTGTTTTTAAGTTAACTTATTTAGTTGTTAGTTTATCTCATCTAATTTTTGATAATGGCTGTGTTTCACAACTAGCTGCAAATTTTCTGACTTTGATAATCAGTTCTTGGGAATCAGCACCCTGCTGTCTGATTGTCCAGATCAAAGCAGAAGTCAAGTCCCAGTAGGTCCCTGTCAAACATGCCCAACATCCATGATCTCCCGAAGCATGTTCTAAACTAACTACTGTGTGCAAGTTTTATTGGAAATCCTCATTTGTACGTTTCACTTAGGATCACAGCAGGATCTTGTTAGAATTCGGGTTCAGATCGGGTAGCCTGAGAGGCTGCACCTTTAACCAGCTCCCACGGGATGCTGGTCCCCGCTGTCCCCCCATGCTGATATCCCTGAACCCAGTCCTGAGTGGTAGGCAGCTAAGACACTCACAGAGCTGGCGGTGTTGTGTCTAGTACAGGCCACACATATATAGTTACACATAAAATAAAGCTATATGTAACTCTCAAATCAGTGGGGAATACACTTGTGCTCACTGCCCCACATCTCCCTATTCATCTCTGATTCAGCCCCGACCTGTGAGCACAGCATGAAACATAAGCAGAATATTTTCTGATATTCTGAAACATAGAGCTGGCAGTATTGTGTCTAACCTTCTCTCTGGTTTTATCTTTTTGTTTTTCATAAACAAAAGAGCTGGCAGTGTTGTGCTCACAGAGCTGGCAGTGTTGTGTCTAACCTTCTCTCTGGTTTTATCTTTTGGTTTTTCATAAAATCATTTAAGTGACGTCATCTGTGGGTGAGTCTCAAACCACTATCCCAGGTCTCCAACATTTCTTCTGGCCATGATTTATCTTTTAAAATAGCATTTAGTGGAACATATCCCCCAGTAAGTCTCTCTGTATCGTGGATTTGGCTTTCTTGCTTTGAGTCTTAGTGGCGAATATTCCCTCTCCTCTTAAGGTATCTGTGCATTCACAGAAGCCTCGCTGTGGTGTTTAATTCTGCACCTGAAGGAGCTAAGGAATGCCACCCGAGCAGGTGTCTGCAGATGATAAACTTGAGGGTGAAGGGAAGGCTGTGAGGTAGGAGAATGTGAGAAGAAAGGCGGAGGATTAACTGAGCCGTGACTTTGGAAGGCTTTGAATTAAAGGCCAAGGGGTTATAGATTGACAGTGGAAAGCCACTGGTGGAGAGCCCGAAAAGGAGTTTAAGAAGTTCAGGAGTTTACAGTGATTACCAGTGAGACTGCTTGAGCATTAAACTTCAGAGTTAAAGCATTAACATTCTCAAATAGTTATTCAAGATGTTGTGGATTATTATTTGAAACAGTCACTGGAGCATAGTTGCCCATTAATAGAGCAGCAATTACAGAAAGGAAACTCTGCCACCATTAGCACATGCAATCCTAATGACAAAAAACACCCAGGCAGATTGAAGTGGATTAAGGATAACATTGTCTTCTAGGAAAAAATTTTAAAACCCACCAACATTGCATTAGAGTGTCTTTTAGAACACAACCAAGAAGACATGATGAGAGTGTCACTGGGCCCCAAGTCAACTCTCAGACCATCTATGTCAGCCCATTATTTGTTATATAGTGTAACACCCGAGGCTGAGGAACGTTATAAAGAAAGGAGATCCAGTTAGCTTACAATTCTGGCAGTTCACGGAGACAGCACCAGCAACAGTGAGCTCTGGTGAGGACGTCAGGGTGCAGGGCATCATGAGGGCAGGAATGTGCGTCAGAGGGAGCAAGACAGAGAGCCAGGAGGGTGGTTCAGGAAGCAGAGGTCACTCTTACACAATGACATTCTCAGGAGACTAACTCAGGCTTCCCTGAAGACCACGTTAATTCCTCCATGGGCAGTGCCTCCAGTGACCTCGGCACCTCCTGGCAGGCTCCGCTGCTTAGCGGTTCACTGACCCTCCTCGTGGCCACTCAGAAGACCTGAATCCTTGGGGGATGAACCACATTTACACCAGGCTGCCATCTTTGCAAACAGCAGGGGGAAAGGCAGGGCAGACGAAGTGCCTCTCACCATCTACCACGTCTCCCTTCACCCTCTTCAGCTGTCAGACGGAGAAATCGAGCCAGGTCAGATAACTTGCCCAACAGCGTAGTGAGAGGTGAGGCTGTGATTAAACCCACTCGCCAGGTTTGCCTCTCCGAGTCCCAAAGCTGGTGAAACCTGAGTCCCTCAAATAAAGTGAAGCCACCCCACCAGGAAGCCCTTGGGAACCTGGGGGGACCAAGGACAGTTTCCATGGAGACATGCAAAGACCACAAAACCCAAAGGCACAGCTGAACATGGGTGAGGGTGTGTCCTGCATATTGGGGTTTGTTTTTTTCCAAAGCAAAAACGTTCTTGGGTGGGCAGCTGGTAGAGACTGTTAGGGTAAAGGCCCGGCTCACAGGATGATGATCAGCCTGGCTGGCCCTGTAGGCATTCTGCACTGGGTGGCCTGAAGAAGGAACACTGTCCTGGCATCCCCACTACAGTGTCACTATGAAGAGCCCTGGGGTGAACGGGGCTCATTCTGCTTAAAATTTATACAAAGTTTCGCTGGCAAAACGTCCCGACCAGAGCTGAAATCAGGGATCCTCTTCATGACTCTGTCCTTTAGACTTAGCCTCTGATTCTGGTTAGATTTCCATGACTTTCATGAGTCTTCTACAACTTCCGTGAATCAGATTCAATCCAATTCCCTCTGTTTTCCTCCCTGCAGATTTGGCCGTAAATTCTGCCTCCTCGCCACTATCCTCATCAACGCTCTCTCTGGGGTCCTCATGGCCATCGCCCCAACCTACACGTGGATGTTGCTGTTTCGCCTGATCCAAGGACTGGTCAGCAAAGCAGGCTGGTTAATAGGCTACATCCTGAGTAAGAATCTGTGGCACACAGGGCCTCTGTTCCAAAGTGTAGTGGGGGGGCCAGGTGGGACCTGGACCCAGCTTCAAGACCATGTTGAGAGACTTTCATTCTGTATCAAAAGAATGTTTTGACTCCTTCAGTGAACTCTGCATCCCCACTGTGAAAAGAAAACAAGGTCGAAGCAAGAGTCAATGTCATGCCACCCAGATTCCTGGGTGACTCTTGGAATTTTTTATTTCTGTGCCCTGGAGTGTTGTGCAGAGAGAAAACCTAGCCTGCCAGGCAAAGATGATGGATGCTTTTGATGTACAAAGCACCTTATTACTTTACAAACTTCCATTTAAGTTAGCCAGAATTATCCTCAATTCATATACAAGAAAAATGAGAATACAAGTACCAGAGTGGACCTAAGTTACTCAAGAAGCCATTTGTAGATTCAGCAATATAATTTACATCCCATTCATTAGGAGCCAGAGTTCAGATTAAGGTTCATGGGGCTTTAGGGTATATTCAAATTCTAATAACGGGACATCTTTATAACAATAGTAAAAAAAATAAATCACCACCACAATTAGATCTTTGAAATTAGCCTCATGGTTACTTTTCCTTTGGCCACATTTAAATAGCATCTATTCAAAGTTAAAATAATAATAATAAAGCTCTCATTATACTCAAGAGAACTAGAATATCTCTGCTTGCACAGCTTTATCGAGTAAAGACAATTTGGGGAATAAGAGTAAGAGATGGTTTTTAATGCTATTCTGCCGAGGCAGGCATCTAATGAATGTTTGGTCAGTTAATGTATGCAGTTATTCAACCAGTGACTTGGTTTCTAGAACACACAATATGTAGAATTTGTACAAATGTAAGTTTCAGCAAAAGTTACTCTTAACCTCCTCCCATTGATTTCTTCTCCAGTCCCTCTCAATGTCCTTGATGTACACTTTGTTACTCCACCTCTCCCTGCCCATCTTCCCCCAAACTCATCTATTCCCCCCAACCACCTTATTGACACCCTCAAGCATCACTTTGTTGAACTTTTTAAAAATAATTTGGATAATTTGCCATAATTTGTAGGAATATTTAGGGGCATTTCTGTTTGGTTTATAAATGGTTGAAATCTTTGACATATTTGTCAAACATGTAAAGCAAAAAATGTGGCTTGTGGGACATCCAGAACTTGAGTTTGACTAAGACCATATAAACTAGCCCTCCCTGACCCCAAGCACAGGACCTCACTGGTCTGCCTGATGTAGTCCTGGGAAGATAAGGCCACTGTGCCACCACATGCAGGTGCCAGGTGCTGGTGAGTTTGCTCTCGGAGAACAAGAAGCCCTGGTGTGTGGCGCTTTCCAAGTTCCAAAGTGTAAACCTTCCATGGGGCTGATTTCAAGATAACAAGACTAAATGACCAGTTTGCAAATTTCCTGAAAATTGAAAAATAATTTCTTGCATGTTAGCACTGGCTGACTCCAGCCCACTGCTGGGTTTCCAAGTCAATTATGCTAAGAAGCAGGGCTGCCAAGAAAGTGCTTAACCCTGGAGAAAACCAGTTATGTTCAGGTGTTCATGTACCAAAAATCATCTACAGCCCAAAGTCAACATCTGATCCACTCATTCAGATCATTCTTATTCTAGATCAAAATTTTGCATTTGTCTGAAAATACAATTGCATTTGTCCTTGAAATCATTCTATAAATGAAGCATTTTTGCTCATATTGGTAGGCCTTTAATTTTATCTAAAGATGTTGAGTTACAAATTTTCTATTAATTAATACAATAGCAATCATAAGGAAATAAACCACAGGAATCATGTAAAAGAGGGCTGCATGGAAAATTCTAGAATGGGGGGATGGCGTTTTCCTTTCTTTAGAGTTGCACATCCCACTGTACTGACAGCCCTGATGCACTGTATCTCGTTGACCATTGGGTTCTCTCTGCAGTTACAGAATTTGTCGGGCTCAGCTATCGGAGAACAGTGGGGATTTTTTACCAAGTGTCCTTTACCGTGGGGCTCCTGGTGCTAGCGGGGGTGGCGTACGCCCTTCCTCACTGGAGGTGGCTGCAGTTCGCGGTTACTCTGCCCAACTTCTGCTTCCTGCTCTATTACTGGTAAGTCTGTTTGGAACAAAAAAAGGAGATGGGTTGAAATAATTTATTTTGTTAACCTGGCTTCTGAATTCCAAGGTTTCTTTCACCCTCTAGGCCTATCACACAGGAAGCCCAGGTCCACATTTCAGAGATAAAAATCAGACATTCTTCCACTGGAAATCGATATAACAGTTTTGTGACCTAGATCTTACATTTCCTTTATTTATTTGGCATTTAACTTGGCTTTCACAGCTGTGGTACAGTTTGGACTGCAGACCCTGTGAAGGAATCAACCATATTACTGTTGATGTTCTGTTCCTCCTCATTGGAAATCTTAGGATGGAGAAAGCAGAGCTGGCACTAGTCACAATACCTCCTCATACCCATGCCCAAGACAGACATCCCCAACCCATCACAGCAGTTTTATCCCAAATAAGGCCAACAAGGAACCCCGGACAGACCATCCAATCAATCAGTTACCAAGGCAAGTAAGATGTGTGTGTCACCCTTGCCAATGGGAAACAATGGAAAATGACAGAAGTTATTAGAAACCCCTAATGTGAAGTGACCTAAAGTAAGGCAGGGAAAATGCTGATTATCAGACCCACTCTCCCTCCTGGGCACAACCCACCTTCTTGGTTCCTCCTGGATGCATCCTGATGTCTCCCATAGTTGCCTAAGAAATGTGCATCTCAACCTTCCCAGGGAGCCTGTTTCTCATCCAAGAGCCAGTAAAACCTATGTCCCAATCAGCTCAAGAGGCCACAGCAAAACACTGCAGATGGAGGACTTCAAAAGCACACTCATTTCTCACAGTTGGTGGGCTGGAAGTCCAGGATCCGGGTGCCGGGCGCCTTGGGCTCACTCAGGCTGGCTGCCGACAGCTGCTTCCGCCTTGTGTCCACCCACGATGGACAGTGAACCACTGAGCTCTGTTCTCTCTCTTGTCACAAGGACACAAACCCCATCATAAGGGGCCCACCCTCAAAGCCTCATCTGATCCCAGTTACTTCCCAAAGGCCCACCTCAGGTTACACATTGGGGGCCAGGACCTCAACATATCAATTCCCGGGGACCTATAGTCCATCATACTTTGAGAACGAACCTATCTCCCTCTGTCCCTGGTTGTAGCTCTGAATCCACCTTTATTTTCCTATTCCACTAGGAAGTCTCATTTCTTGACTGGATACCTTTCCCAGCTGTTCTTCTTGACATTGGCTTTACTGTCCTCTGATCCTTTATCAAACAGCAACTTAAAAATCCATCTTCATGTCACTCCATTGCTGAGAAACCCCCTCGGCAGCCCCAAGAATGGACACCTAATGCGTTAGCAGGAAGGCCCACTTCTTGCCCAGCCTCGGCCTCCTTGGAGGCACGTCTTGCCATGTGCACCAACAGCATTAAGCTGAACTTATTTACAAGTCTACAAACTCCATGGTGGGGCTGCATTTTTGGAAAGATTGTTCAGGATGCAGAGAAAACAGGTCTCACAGGGAAGAATGGAAGCAGGGGGTCGTCTAGAGGCCAGGGCAACAATCTGCAAGAGAGGGCCTGGATGGAGGCAGGGGGGAGGTAGGGAGAGGAAAAGACTTATAACCAGTTCTAACAAGGTGACGAGGCGGAGCTTGGGGCAGACTGCATGTGGCAGTCTAGAGACAGGAGGTGTGCAGTGGATGCCCCAGTGTGGGCTGGCACCTGCGTGTTGGTGGGAGTCACTCAAAGGGGTTTGGACCGGAAGGAGGCACAGGTGGGAGGGAATGGGTTGTTGAGCTTTGGACATGACAAATCTGAGGTGGTAAAGGACGTCACATGCAGATGCCCAGGGGCCATCTGAGTCTGAGTAAAATTCAACTATCTTTTCGTTGCTAACGGCACAGATGAGGTCACTCAGGAAATGAAGAGAGTTGTGAGAGGAAGGGGATTGGGCCAGAACCCGAGAAAGCACCAAGCTTTGGCAGCCAGGCAAAGAAAGAGGAGCCAGACCAAGGAAGAGCAAGGCAGCCCCTTCACAGGGACTCTGGCCACAGTCTCCGCCTACCCCCCCCCCCCGCCTCCCCTGGCCACTGCGGAGGCCTGGTGGGGCCTCCTCCCCACTTGGGAAGCCATGCCTGCAGCTCTGTGACCTTGCTCCTTGCTGCTGCAGGTGTCAACAGGTGACTGGCTGTTGCATTACTTGGCTGGCCTACCTGCAGTCAGCTCTGAGGTCAGGTAACTCTGGAGCCCCGTGGTCAGTCTCCTGTCCCAGATCAGATTCCCGTGGTAAGGCCCCTGTGCATGACTGTCCAGTCTTTGTCTGAACATGAATAGCCCTGTTTCATCATCAAGCAAGCCACTTTACTGTAGAATTGATCCAAAGTTCATGTTCAGGAGAATTTGGATTAAGCCAGGATTCCCTCTCCTATGATATTTTCTCAGTGGTCCTAATTTTCCAAAATATTGCTTTAATTTCTGCTCTATCTGGCAGGTCTTTAACTATCGGGGTTGACTCTACCAGAACTTCCACCTGGAAGGCTGTTGGGGTTCCTACACTCTGGCATTCCCTACCTCCTGGTCCCCCAGTTCACGCAACAGCTGGCCAAGCTGACCCTGGGCTTCCTTAAGGGAGAGATCTGGAGCTGCTCATGAGCACCAGGTGGCATCTAGAAAAACAGCCCTGCAGTGTCATAGCGTGAATTGTGGGTTCTGAGACCGAATATGCCACACTCCTGCTCCTGACCCTGAGCCTCCAGCCGAAAAGAGGTGCCCTGGCTCCTCCTCCTCCAGTGGCACTGCCACAGAAACATCCATCCCAGGTCCCGTGGAGCCTGCCCCTCAGAGCACTGAGCAGCCATCCAAGCCGGGGCTACCTTTGTGCCATGTGCACTGGGAGAAGAGCCCTGACCTCAGACACTTCCCCTGTCCCTGGGGGAATCAGCTTCTGGAATGATGTATTACTTATGTAGGACACATCCCGCCCACAAACACACACTCACACACACTCACACACTCACACACACTCACACACTCACACACATACTTACACACTCACACACACATCTGGAATGATGTATTATTTATATAAGCTACATCACAAACACTCACACACTCACACTCACACACACTCACACACACACACTCACACACACGCACACACACTCTCTCACACACACACTCACACTTGCTTTCCCCATGAGGCTTTGCATACTTCCACCTCTCCACCCTCTGACCCTTCTGACAGTTCTCAGACTTTTACAAAAAGCTTGGGGACACCTGAAGCGACAGCCTGAAGGCTCCTGGTGAAGGCTGATTACAAGTCAGCTCTTGAGGAAGGAAAGAATCAAACACCTGCTGCAGGTTTTTATCTCCTTTCTAGATCCAGCTGAAACCCGCTGGTAAGATCCTCCCAGATACCCCACTATGCAGTTGGGGGCCGGCCAGCTAAAGTCTCCCCTCCACTGACATTGTGCTCTAGGTGCATACCTGAGTCTCCAAGGTGGCTGATCTCCCAGAACAAGAACGCCAAAGCCATGAGGATCATTAAGTACATTGCAAAGAAAAATGGAAAATCAATGCCAGCCTCTATCCAGGTAAGTCGGGGTCTTAAGTGTCCAATCAGGGGGCAGTGAAAAGAGAGGGTTTGAGAAACTGGGCCCATTAGCAATGGAAATGAGGAGCCTTGGAGGGGTCCACCAGCATGCACTTGGGCCTGCTTACAGGAAATGCAGTAGAATATTTCATGCATGAGAGGAGAGCATCCAGGGAGAACACTTGAGACAGATCCAAGCAAATTCACAAGGAATTAGAAATCATTCAAAAGTCAACCAAGGAGCTTCTGCCTTGTGCAACTCACAGCGTTGCTGGCCACTATCCTGCTCACGCTCACACCCAGCATCCCCAGGCAGATTCCTGGGTCCATAAAGCAGTCCTTTGAGCACAAAAAATATCTTGGATACAAATCGTTTCCAAACATTTGAAGCAAACCCCTGTCTTCTTAAACAGAATCCAGTTACCAAGGAATCCACTTGTTCTGTTTCAGGGCTGGCAAGGAAAGGCCCTTTACCTTTTCTTTGGTACCTGGAGGGGGAAAAAAACAACTCTAAAGTGCAAGAATAATCCATTGGTTCCACAACTAGTAGCCAGCTCACCGTGTTTGCTGTCCACAGGTTGTCCCCAGAGCTGGGACAGTCCACCGGGGCCACGCCTTTTTAGGGAGTTGCCCTTGGCCATCAATAGATCTCATCACTTTGGACTCAAACCTTTTCATCTGACAGGGACTAGAGGAGAGAAAGTGAAGTGCATTAGGAAATGATGTTGACACAAGAGTGAATCCCTCTGGATGAGGATCTAGATAGGCCACCTGGAAGGAGCTCAGACTTACACAAAGTCTAGGGCGAGGACTTGCAGGTGCAGACAACTTTTTCCTTCTCTTCGTCCCTGTTCCTGGGTGGTGGAAATGCATCTTCTTTTCCACTAACGACCAGGTGGCACTAACTCTTAGGTTCTAGATTCTTTTAGTGACTGACCAGGGCGTCAGTCACAGGGGAGTCACTGTCCCACCAGAGATGGCATTCAGACCATCTGGTAACTGCCAGTCTTGCTCATGCTCTCTTCTCTCACAGGCTGTCACATCCCTTTTGGGAAGGAGGCAGTGGAATGGAGAGTCCCTGCTCCGCCACCTAGTGACCACGTTCTTCAGGAGTTGAACATGTCATGTACTAACTACATCCTGTGTGCAGTCACCTGGGGACCTTGTGAAAATGCACATCCCCATCCATCTCTTGTTACTTTATTATTTTGTTCCATATTTTTAATGGTGCATTACAGTCGTACATAGTGGTAGGGTTCGTTGTCACATGTTCATGCATGCACACAATGGAACAATATAATCTGGCCCATATCATTCCCCATATTTCGTTTTTCCCTTCCCTCCTTCCTCTCCCTTATTGCTTTCTTCTACTCTACTGATCACCCTTCAATTTTCATAAGACCCTCCCCTCCATACATCTTTCTTCTACCTTCTCCTCTGTAGCTTCCCTCATAGGACCCTCAATCTTCTAAGTTTGGCTGATTTTGTTTAACATTGTGTTCTCAAATTCCATCCATTTTTATGCAAATGACATAATTTCATTTTTCTTTTTGGCTGAATAACCCTCCATTGTGTATAGACCACACCGTCTGTATCCACTTGTCAGTTGATGGACATGTCAGCTGGTTGTTCCATAGTCTAGATCTTTTATTTCTAAGAAACTCCAGCCAGTGCTGATGCTGGTCTCAATGTCAAGGTCCCAAAGAGACTTGCCTGACAGGCCACAGAGGGATCCAGATGGGTGACCAGTTACTTCACCCTCAGCCCTGAGGGTCGTGGGCCTGGGCCTTGGCAATACCCCAGGATGCCTTACAAATGATGTCACTTTAAATACACACCATGATTTGCCTAACTTCTCAGTATTCCTTATGTATTCCTCTTCCATAAAATGGGTGGAAAATAGGCCCTAACTTCAGGGTCTTTATAAAGACTACATCAAAGTAAGAAGTTCTTAGATTAGGACTGGGCACATGGTGGACACAGGAAGTGAGGGTATTATGGTTACTTCTCCCTGGGACAGGGACCCTGTCATTAAACAGAGGAAGTCAATTTTATTGTTCATTTGCTTAGAGGCTGAGAGCCGAGGAGGAAGTGGGCGAGAAGCTGAATCCCTCCTTTCTTGACTTGGTCAGAACCCCTCAGATAAGAAAGCATACTTTGATCTTAATGTACAACTGGTAAGACATTTTTCTTTGTTGTTTTTGCTTTAAAATTCCCCTAAATGCATTGAATCACAGTCACAATTGGGGCGGGAACAAGAACACCTTCAAAACATGACCTCATCCGGTGTTAGCATTGAAGGGGGCAGGGACGTGTGGCTCATGGAGAGGTTTCCCTGATAACACTGTTCTCACCAAAGCAGACGTGGGCTTCCAGGGCTTAGCAAGGTCTGCTCGGCCTCGACCTTGGCTGCTCATTAGCATCTCCGGGGAGTTAGAAGATGCCACTGCAGACCCTCGTCTTTAGAAACTGGTTTAAATGGTCTGGGGTAGTGCCCAGTAGCCAAGAGTTCTTAAATTCTCCAGGTGATTCAAACACTTGCCAACCTGAGCACAGCTGGTGTAAGAGAACTGCAGAGGGGTGTGGACCTCTGCAGGAGTCCAGGGCTGGCAAGCAAAGAGACATTTCTTTTTTCTTTTTGTTCCTGGAGAAAAAAAAAAGAAAAAGAATAAACTTATGAACAAGAATAATCCAGGGGTTCCACGGTCCTCTGACTCGGACGAGGCCCTGTTGGCCACCCACGGGCTGCTCAGGGCTTCGAGCTGGGCCTTTCCTAGAAAGGTGCTCAGAGCGCGGGGACCTGCAGCATCCCCTGCAGACTCATCACCAGTGACAAAGGCAAAGCTTGTCACAACACTGCACAGGAAAGGCGGCTTGGAGATCTGGCCTCCTCCGCCTTCCTTCCCTTTCTGACCTTTCATCCCCCCCCCCATCCCCCTGTGTTTCCATTACCTGAGATGGCTGTTTCAAGTCAACAAAACTAGAACCCTTAGGCCAGAAGAGAAATCCTGGGGACGGGAGGGGTGCTCGTTTGGTCTTCTGTTTCTTGAGGCTTGAATTAAGTAATCACTCCTCTTGGTCCCAACTGCTTTCAAAGACCACAAAGAGGACGGATCCACAACCACTAATGACCCCAGACAGTTTTGCTAGTAAATCGCTCGGCTAAGACATCCTTGGCGCTCATAGGGACCATCCCAGTGCTTCCCTTTTCCTTGTTCCCTGGTCACAGCCAGCACTGAGGCAGACCCACTGGTGTCGGAGAGATGGGATGGAGGGAAAGGCTCCCTGCCATCCACTCCGGTTCTTGCAGAAGCCTCTCCTTTCTGGTGTGTGTGTGGTGCTCCGCTTGACTCTGGCTCTCCCCTCTGTCCAGGTTCACGAGCTCTGTTCTCTACCAGGGCCTTATCATGCACATGGGCCTCGCAGGGGACAATGTCTACCTGGATTTCTTCTACTCTGCTCTTGTTGAATTCCCAGCGGCCTTCATCATCATCCTCACCATTGACCGCATCGGTCGGCGATATCCTTGGGCTGTGTCAAACATGCTGGCAGGGGTGGCCTGTCTAGCTTCCATTTTTATCCCTGATGGTAAGTTTCAGGACAACCTGGGGGCGTGTCCCCAAGGCCTTAAGAGGGAGGGTCAAAACCCTGTGATAGGAAGTCCATGTATTTTATCTCACATCTATTTGGAAAGACAAAGGGAAATACTCAGGATTTTTCTGAGCAAACCCATATGGCCAACCTGCTCTTAAGAGTGATGTGCAGTGTTTATAGCAGCACAGTTCACAGTAGTCAATCCATGGAGCCAACCTAGGTGCCCTTCAACAGATGAATGGGTAAAGAAAATGTAGTTATATATATACAATGGAGTATGACTCAGCCATAAAGAAGAATGAAATTATGGCATTTTCCAGTAAATAGGTGGAACTGGAGATTATCATGCTGAGTGAAATAAGCCAATCCCAAAAAACTAAAAGCCAAATTTTTTCTCTGATATGAAAAAACTAGTCAAAAATAAGGGGTAAAAGAGAGATGGAGATAGAGATAGAGATGAGAGAGAGGGAGAGAGAGAGAGAAAGGAAAAGGGAGATTTTATCAAAATAGAAGAAAAATCAGTGGATTAGCTGAAGGGGACTAAGTGGGGGGTTGAGGAGGGACGGGATAAGGGAAGACCCGTGGAAGGAATTTGAGCTGCCTTCCCTATGAACAAGGCACATATATGAATATGCCACAGTGAACTCCATCATCATGTGTATCCACAGGAAACCCACTTCAAAAAAACTAAAATAAAAGTAAATAGCCGAGGGGCTGGGGTTGTGGCTCAGCGGTAGAGTGCTTGTCTAGCCTGTGTGAGGCACAGGGTTCAAGCCTCAGCACCACATAAAAATAAATAAAATAAAGGCATTGTGATCATCTGCAACTAAAAAAAATTAAAGAAAAAAAATAAGTATCAGAAAGATGAGTTGAGTAGAGGGGAAGGGAATGAGGGAGGGAGGGAAGGGGAAGTACTAGGGACCAAATTAGATTTTATAATCATGTCAAACAAAAAAAAAAAAGAAGAAAATTTTTTAAATAAAAAATAGAAATAAAGAAATAAGAGCAATGATGTCAGGCAGTCACACCTGAGGTGACAGAACAAGAGACGATGTGAGATGTTGCACTACGGCTTCAAAGCTGACCCGCAGCAGGGAGCCTGGGCTTTGGGGAGAGCAGGCCCAAGGTCAAAGTCTTGCTCCAGGACTTCTGGGGAAACTCCCTCCAATAAGTGCCATCAATAAACGATTCTTGCCTTAGGACATACTCTTTCCTGATGATCAGAATCCCTTCAGCCATGTGAAGCTTTGTTCAACTCCTTCACTGAGTAGCACTTATTTACAATATGCCCAAGCGTTGCGGTTTCTCTGGGGTAACCTCCGTAACGTGGCTCCAGCTTTGGGAGCTGCTGGAGCACCGTTGCCCTTCACAACGGGGGTCTAGCGGTCAGAGTCTTGGAGGCAAAATGGGGAGACATAGAAGATCAGAAGTGGCCAGGGAGCAGGGGGTGTTGGATGGGCAGAGGGCAGGGGACTCTGGGAGGCAGAGAGAATCTCTGTGCAGGAGTGGACATGTGTCATCAGACATTTATCCAGACCCACGGGATGGTCACCACCAAGAGTGACTCCCAGGCCTAATGTAAACTATGGACTGGGGTGACAGTGTCGTGTCACTGCAGGTTCCTCACAACCCAACGTTCCCCTCTGTGAGGTACTCTGATAATGGGGGAGGCCACATTCACTTGGGGCTGAGGTGTGATGGCGAATCTCTGTACTTTCCTCTTAATTTTGCTCTGAACATAAAACCACCTTTAGAAAAATAGTCAGGTTTTTAAAAGAGTCTTAGAATCACGTGTGAGGTCAACACAGACCTGGGGAGCTGCTGCCATGGCCTTGACTCTGTAAACCACCCCTGCTCCCCGGCCCCTTCTGAACCTGGAAGGTCTCCACACAAGCCTGCTCTGGAGCCCTCTGGGGCTGAGGGCTCATGTGCACTGTGTGAGTGGTGCATTGTCCCCCACAGATCTGCAGGGGCTGAGGGTCGCTGTCGCGTGTCTGGGCAGGATGGGGATCACCATGGCCTATGAGATGGTGTGCCTGGTCAACGCTGAGCTGTACCCCACATTCATTAGGTGAGCGGGACGGCTGTGAGCCCTGTTTTCTGGCTAGAACTGCCTGGGCACAGCAGGGACACTCTGCTTTTGAAAGCATGGTGTTGGGAAGGTGGGCACAGAGAGGCAGCAGCTGGGCCAGCTCTTCACCCTTCACACTTACAGGCAGGTGGCAGGCAGCGTCCAGAGGCTGTGGTGAGAACAGTAGACAGGGCTTGTAAGAGAGGGAGCACCAGGTGGCCGGAGGAGTGAGGGCAGGGAGGAGGGCGATGGAAGGGCAAGGTCAAGCTGCTCCTCCCGCCCGGAAGTCGGTGAGCAGGATGGGTTACGAAGCCAACTGTGTGCAGACACCGTCTGTGTGCATTGAAAATAATGTGAGCAGTGAGCGGGGTAGTGCACGCCCATCGTCCAAATTTTTGAGGACTGCAGATATAGCTCAAGAGTGGAGCACTTGCCTAGTAGGTTCAATCCCTGGTACCTCGATAGAGGAAGGGGGCGGAGAAAGGACGAGGGGGAGGGGGGGAAGAACATGGCCATACTTCTCGGGTTTTGGACATTTAATGCTTTGGGGAAGGAGGGTCCTCAGGGAAGGTGGGAGATCACTGTCCTCCCGTGGTAAATCCGTTTCCTGCACTTCAGGAACCTGGGCGTCATGGTCTGCTCCTCCATGTGTGACATTGGTGGCATCTTCACGCCGTTCCTGGTCTACCGCCTCACTGAGGTCTGGCTTGAGCTCCCGCTGCTGGTGTTTGGTAAGAAATCCCCATAGAGGGCTGAGCACAACCCCATCTCCCTACCTGGACACAGGCACCATGCCCATTAGTCCACACTAGTTACTAGAGATTTGTGACATTGTTGGTATGCTAATTAGTAATACTAGCCTTTGTAAACTATTGGTCACAACCAACACTCACGCATGGGACTCCTGCCTCAGAGATAGAGTTGAAGACAGGAGGGGGGCAGGAAGCCGTCTCCCTGCAGCGCCCCCAGCTCTCTCCACTGACCCCCAGCCCTCCAGGTCTTGGTCAGAGAGCTGACCCTTCCTGACTCCATGCCTGGTAGCCCTAAAACACAAAGCCCTTTTATTTCACTAGTTCAAAGAAAGGCAGGTAAGATTCTGCATATGGCAATTTCCAAAACACAGAGGAGACAAAATCCACAAGGAAGAAAGTGCTTTGGTGGTGGCCAGCCTGAGGGCACTACCCCGCCCACCCCCAGGGCTGTTGGACTCCAGGAGCTGGGCAGTGCCTCCCCTTCCCCACGCCAATGGCGCTGGGACAGGAGGGAACACAGGCACTGAGCCCCGCCTGCCCACCCGCTGCCCACAGGATGGAAGGTGCCTGGGCGAATCCATGGGATGCTGAACATGAAGCCTGGAAGGGTCCTGGGGTCGGGCACCCACATTCATTCGTGTCGTTGCCGGTTCCCCACAGCTGCAGGCCATGGGACAGGTGTCCCCAGACACGTGAGATGTGGACGCTGTTTCAGATTCGTGCGCACACGTTAACTGACACCTTGGCGCACCCCTTTCAGTCTCCTGAAGGACCCACTCAGGCCTCCTGTACCTGGCTGAGTGCCCCTTTCCTGGGGGCACACAGGACGTAACTGGGCTGGAGGAGAGGGGCTAAGCTCCCACCTGCTGGTGGCCCGGGGAGCACCTCCGACTTCTCCCTGTGCTGCGCATCACCGCCCCCACACGCTTGCCCCGGTTTGTGTCTTCCCTGTTCGAGGGATTTGGGGGGAAACTGGGCTTCATCTGCTCTGCGTCTGTCGCAGAAGCCACAGACCATCCGTGGGCCTCCCCCTTGAGACAGTGAATTCCTCCCACCCCAATATCATGACAGAAGGATGGACAGGGCCGACAGACGCAGCTCGTTATCCTGAGACAACCAAGGCTTGGCCCCCGTGTTGCTGGCACTGCTGAAGGCACACACGTGGCCCAGATCCTCCCTCCCCAACGCCGGATGAGGGACTGTCCCAGAGCCCCTCTTCCTCTGAAGAAGTGCCCTCACACCCTCTGGACTCCTTCAGAGAAGGAGTCAGAGGCATGTCAGCCTCGGCCACTCCCTTAGGTGGACAGTGGGTGACTGAGGGGTCAGGAGAATATTTTAATATAAAAGATGTCGCATGTTTCTCTAACTGCTATTTAACACAGCAACACAAAATCCAGGCCTGGGAGCCGCTGTTGACCCTCGCTCATGCTTCGCCTTCCCTGGGGAAGGAAGTGTAACCGCTCATTCCTCCCTTCCCTTCCCTTCTGGGTCTTGCTGTGTGACAGGCTGGTCTACTGAGCTCAACTGACTCTCCTTCCTCAGCCTCCCAAGTATCTGTGACTACGTGTGCATGCCACCACACCCAAATTACCTTTTTTATTTTTTTTTTGACAGTGCTGGGGGGCAAACAGAGGGCCTCACACATGATAGGCAAGAGCCCTCCCGCTGAGCTGTGCCCCCAGCCTGGTGTCTGCATTGCACCCTCCACTCTAACTCAGACAATCCCAATTTTACTTTTGAAAGTGTGATCTCCTTCCCTCACCAACCTTTAATTTGGCAGCTAGCAGGAAATACAATACTAGTGTGCTAATGGTGGACTTGAAATAGCTGTTAAGCAGCCACCGAAGAAGTCTGAAGATCAAAACCCTGGGAAGCCTGGTTGAAGGAGCCCTGCAAAAATAGATGATGCATATCCCGGTTCATTATCTTGTCTTTGTGAACATACAATGCTAAATGGAAAATCTGATGAATCTATTGTTCATCGGAATTCTCTCTTCAGAGGTTCAGATGCCAACTGGGTGTGTTTCCTGCTTGCATTCTTTGCAATACAGTAACTACTAAATTGGGGAGGTTTGGGAGAGCTAAAGAGGTTAGTTATTTAGTGACCATGTCCCTAGTTCACACCAGGAACAGGCATTCTTCTAAGTGCTTGTCAAATATTAACTCATTTCAACCTCATAACAAGCCTGTGACGTAGATATTTTGTCAAGGGAAATTAGAGGGTCAGAGCGATTGCAGAACTTCCCAAGGTCCACAGACTGGTGAGGAAGTCAGAGTGTGACCAGGTGCTCAGTGCTAGGGCTTGTGCTTCTGTGGAAGGGCCTTGTGGTATCCATTTTCACCATTTTTTGAGGGTAAAAATGGAATCTAGCAGACAGTGCTTTGCCACTCCCAAACTAGCAAAGAATCCACATCCCACTTCCTGCATTCTATTATGAAAAAACAAAATCATAAAAGACCCAAACTTTTATCAGAACTTAAAGAAACAAAACTATCAACTAATAACAACTATGGTTGTTACTAAAGATTACAACTAGAGGCGAAGAAGAAAGAACTCCGGGGACTTAATTAGCAAGCCCCTGAACTTGGACTAAATGGCCTGACTCTATTTTTCAATGCTATTGGGCAGTGATACGTGACTCATGACTTTATTTGCTGGTAGTGGTCCAAGTTTTCTGACTTATTTTCCTTACCAAGTGCTTTATATTGGCACAGTTATGTTCTTTTTTCATAGGTTCTTTTCTCAGAGTTATTTTCTAACTCCAAAGACTTTTAGTATTGTGGCCATGTCCTCTTGCCTAGAATAAACTTGACTCCAAATGTTAAGTATTTCATTTCCCTAAAAGGAACGGTCATCCAATGGCATTTGGAATTGGCACAATATTTATGATGGAAAATAAGGCAATTCAAGACGGCAAAGGAATCTATAAATAAATATATTAAAAAACACCACGGGAGGACGGGGAGAGGGGGGGAGAAGACAGACAAAGGGGAGCTCTAATTACAGGGTTCTGCCTTTCAGTCTCTAATGTGATTTGCGTGTTGTCTTCCAGCTGTGATAGGCTTGATTGCTGGAGGACTGGTGTTGCTGCTTCCAGAGACCAAAGGGAAGGCTTTGCCTGAGACCATCGAGGAGGCTGAGAACATGCAAAGGTAGGCAGCTGGGATCCCGAGTGAACTTTTCAATAAATGTTTTGGGACAACTCTACCCAGTTGGAGAGAAAGATGAGGTCGAATCTGTGACTCATACCATACTGTGGGATAAATTCAAGCTAAAACAAAGGCTTAAACATTAAAGAAGAAAGAAAATACAAAAATGAATACACTGCAGGAAGTTTCCTTTATACCTTCATGAGAAGGAAGGTTTTTCTAAATATGACAAAAATAATAATAATCCAAGACTCAGAGAAGAAAGATTCATTTGTTTGCATTCACAAAAATTAAAATATCTGCATCAAAAATCTATCATAAAAACAAAATGGCTGCCCGGCACAGTGGTGCACGCCTGTAATCCCAGCAGCTCCGGGGGCTGAGGAGGGAGGCTCACAAGTACAAAGCCAGCCTCAGCAAAAGCAAGGCACTAAGCAACTCAGTGAGACCCTGTCTCTAAATAAAATACAAAAAAGGGCTGGGGATGTAGCTCAGTGGTCGAGTGCCCCTGAGTTCAATTCATGCTACCAAAAAAAAGTCAAATATAGAGAAAATATTCACTACTCCATAGAGGGCTAATTTCCTGAACATAGAAAGAGCCTTAACAAATCCATAGTAGTAACCACTCAATTGAGATAATAGGCAAAGTACCTGAGCAGCTAATGCAGCAAAAAGGAAATCCAAACAGGTCTTAAATACACGAGAATTGCTCAGTCTCCTTCATGATCAGATGTACACTGCACTAAGACACTTGGATTGTCCCAGATCACCTTTCCTGGAGCCTGATATCTCAAGAGAGAGTTGGGGGAGAGGCAGCCTCCGGCATTGCTCATAGAAACACAGATTTGAAATCTGTGACAAGTGTCATGATGACAAATGTGCATGTCCTTAAACTTAGCAATTCTACCTGCTCAGAATTTACGTGAACAAAATGACACAATCAATCAGTAAAGCATTTTTTATGTTACAAAGATTAGAAACAACCTAAATGCACATTAGTTGGGAGACTGGTTAAATAAATTATAAGATTCCATTCAACAAACTACTATACAGCCATTTAAAAAATGGAAGTCAACTATGATACACCGATAAGGAAATTCTTCAAATTGTACCACTAATGGCAAAAAAAAAAAAAAAAAAAAAAAAAGCAACACATAGAAAAGTAGGTATTTTATTATTTGTGGAAATACAATGTAAATATATAAACATGCAAAGTATTACTAAAAATGGTGAAAGTATATGTTATGGTTTAGATATTAGATGTTCCCCAAAAGCTCATGTATGAGACAATTTAGGAAAGCTTAGAGGTAAAATGAATGGGTTATGAGATCCTTAACCCAATCAGTGAATTAACCCCCTAATATAGATTGATTGATAACTGAAGATAGATAAATGTTAGGTATATAGATAGATAGAAGCCCCCCCTAAACACATGATTTTACTTCCCAAAGTTTCAATTACCTGTGATCCTCTACCATCCATCACAGTATGAAAATATTAAGTGGAAAGTTGCAGAAATGAACAGTTCATACATTTCACATTACATACTGTTCTGATTAGCATGATGAAATCTTGCACGTGCCTCTTGTGATAAAATCTCACATTCATTATATGAATAATTCCTTTGTCCACAGTATCTCTGTCATAGATGCTACCTACCCATTAGTCATCTCAGTTAGTTATCAGATGGACTGTCAAGGTATGCAGTGCTTGTGTTCAGGGAACCCTTATTTTACTTAATAATGTTCCTGAAGTTGTATGCTGGAAAATTGGACCTTCCAAAGAGAAATTGTAAAATACTTCCTTTAAGTGAAAAGGTAAAAGTTCTCAACTTAATAAGGAGAGGAAAAAAATAATAAATATGCTAAGATTTTTAATAGATCTGGTAAGAAGGAATCCCTTATTGCACCTAATTTATAAACAAAACTTTATTATAGGTATCTATGTATAGGAAAAAGAGCATATATGTTCAGTATGTCTGTGGTTTCAGGTATCCACTGGAGGCTTGGAATGTACCCCCAAGGACAAGGGGTACTGCTATATGTATATGTATATGTATATGTATATGAATATGTATGTGTATGTGTATATATGTGTGTATATATATGCACATACACATACATCTGTGTTTACTTGAATCTCTGGAATAATGGGCAAGAACCATAACATTGTGTCTATGTATTTGGCAGCTATAGGATATGGATATGAGGGAGAATTTCAATGCATATCTTTTTGTAATTTCTGGATTTTAAACAATATGAACCTACTCAAAAGCAAACTTAAAAAGTCTAAATAAAGAGAAACTCACATGATGCCCTCTCCATAAGTCTGTTTTATGGTGCATTAAGACATTTTAATCTTTGTCCTCTCCATTTTTGGCTGTGGGTGCCATGAGCTAAACTGACTTCCCTCCACTGAACCCTCACATGAACCTCTCCAGTACATGGGCAAAATGTTGCTGAATCACAGGGGTCTGATGCTTTTCCTAGAACGTTATCTGAGAATTCAAAGGGGTCACATTGGCACACACTGCAGCCCCCAGGACACCAGGTTCTCAAATGCTTTTTTTGGCCCTCACAGTGTATTTTAAAGTGGAAAATTCCACATGAACTGGGCTTCCATGATCTGTTGGAAAGCCAGATTTGGTTACCCCCATCAGACTTTTCCTCTCATTGCCGTCACAGCAGCTGGGTGATGGCACTGCTCTCCATAGGGAAAGTCCTCGGTGCTAGGCCACAGTCCCCACCATTTCCTGCTGTCCTGTGTGCAGCACACACATATCATCTGCCTGGCTCATGTGAGTATTTGAGTTTGAAGCTCTTAACATAGGCCAGGCCCTTCTCCATGCTCCTTCCGCACACACAAGCACCCACCCCCACCACCGCTACCTTAGGACAGAGTATTCCTGTGCCCTATTGTACCCTGAAGCTAAGGATGGGCCCTGGCACCCTGAGAGCAGGAGCTCTCCAAATATTCCTGGAGTAAATGCAGAGTCCTGCTGCAGCATTGCTATTGGGGTCCTTCTGGGCTTTTCTCAGCCAGCTCAGTGTCAGGCAGGCGGTCATGCACGGCAGTGAGGATCACAGGCCATAATCCTGAGGCCCCCAGGGCAAGAGAGAGGGTAGAAGGCAAGGTGTCCACAGGGAGGAGGATAGACCACAGTTGGCACCAGAGTGGACCGTAGGAACAGTCTCGTAGGCACGGAGAACAGGGCAAGGCAGGAGCCACTCCCCCACTACCCAGGGCATTCAGGCTCAAGGGCACGAGGCTCATGCCGTGAAGAATGTGCATGTCTCGCTAATGTGTTCTGCAGCTCACCTGTGAGCCTGCTGCCTTCGCTGTACAGGAGAACACTGGCTAAAATTATGGCCTGTGATCCTCTCAACTACTGCTTGCCAAGTCCTTTCCAAGTACTCCCTCATTGAATCCTCATAACACCCCTATGAAATAGGTGTTATTAGTAACCCCACTGACGACTGAAAGCAACCCAGGCACAGAGACATTAAAGGACATGCCCAGAGTCACAGTCACCAAGTGACAAAGCCACAGTTCTCATCCTTGCAACTGGATTTCAGAGTCCACACTCTCCATGCCCTCTGAGGGCCAGGCTCACCCGTGGAACAAGGTGGTGAAGCACCCGTGCAGTTGTGGGCATGTAGACAACAGTCAGTCCGTGTGGCTGTGGTTCTTGTTGCTGCTGCTTATACTGCCACTGTTGTTGTGTTGATTTCAATGCTCATGTTGCTGCTTTTGTTTCTGCCATTGGCTGCTGCTAGGGGTGGTGCTGCCATTGTTGCTGCTGCTATTGTTGTTCCTGCTGCTGTTGCTACTGCCACTGCTGCCACTGGTACTGCTGCTCTTATTAATGATGCCGCTGCTGCTGCTGCTGCTGCTATGATTGCTTTTGCTGTTGCAGCTATTGTCATTGCTGCTGCTGCTGCTGCCTTGGTGGTTGCTGTTGCTGTTGATGGTGCTGTTTCTGCTGTCGATGTTGCTGTCATTCCTGCTGTGATCATTGTTAATACTGTTGTTGCTGCTGTTAGTGCTGCTGTTACTATTGCTGCTGTGGTTGTTGGTGCTGTAGCTGCTGCTTCTGTTGCTACCACTGCTGTTATGGCTGCTGCTGTTGTTGCTATTGCTGCCTTTGTTGATGATGCTGTGACTACTACTGTTGTTGCTGCTGTGGTTGTTTTTGCTGCTGCTGTTGCTGCTGCTATCACCGATGCCATTGTTGTTGCTGATGTTGTAGTGGCTGCTATTGATGCTGTTATGGCGGCTACTTCTGCTGCTGCTGCTGTTGCTGAAACTGCTGTGGTAGTAGTTGGTACTGTGGCTGCTGCTGATGTTGCCATGGCTGCTGCTGATGTTGCTATTGCTGCTATTGTAGCTGCTGCTATTGTTGCCATTGTGGCTGCTGCTGTTGCTGCTGCTGCTGCTACTGTTGCTGAACTTGCTGTGGTTGTTGGTGCTATGGCTGCTGATTATGGTGCCACTGCTGTTAATGCTGTTGCTGTTGTTACTGTTGCTCCTGATGTTGCTGTTGCAATTGTTTATAATGCTGTTGTTGTTGCGACAGTTATTGAGGATACTACTGTTGTTGGTTTTGCTGTTGTTATCGCTGCTGCTGCTGCTGCTGCTGTTGCTGTTGATATTGCTGCTGTTGTTACTGCTCCTGTTATGGCTGTTCCTGCTGCTGTTGTTGCTGATGCTATTGGTGCCGTTGCTGTTACTACTGATACTGTTGTTGCTGCTGTTGTTGCTGATGCCATTCCTACTGTGGAGGCTGTTTATGTTGAAGATGCTGAGGCCATTGTTACTGCGGCTATAGCTGCTGCTACTGTTGTTACTACTGTTTTTGCTGTTGTAGCTGCTGCTGTTTTTGCTGTTGTAGCTGCTGCTGTTGCTGCTGTCATGGCTGTTACTACTATTGCTCCTGCTGCTATTGCTGCTATTGTAGCTGCTGCTGTTGCTGCTGTCATGGCTGTTACTACTGTTGCTTCTGCTGCTGTTGTAGCTGCTACTGCTGTTCTTGCTGGTGTTGCTGCTCTTGTAGCTGCTGCTGTTGCTGCTGTCATGGCTGTTACTGCTGTTGCTGCTGCTGTAGCTGCTGCTACTGTTCTTGCTGCTGTTGCTGCTGTTGTAGCTGCTGCTGTTGCTGTGGTTATGGCTGTTACTATTGTTACTGCTGCTGTTGCTGCTGTTGCTGTAGATACTACTGCAGCTGCTGCTACTGTTGTTGCTGCCGTTGCTGCTGCTGCTGTTGTATCTCCTGCTATTGCTGCTGTGAAGGCTGTTATGGCTGTTCATGCTGCTGTTTTGGCTGCTGCTGTTGTTACTACTGCTGCTGTTTCTGGGGCTATTGCTGCTGTTACTGCTGCCCCTGCTGTTGCTATTGATTTCAATGCTGTTTCTGCTCTCAGTACTGCTGCTGCTATTTCTGCTGTGACTGCTGCTGCTGGTGCTGCTGCTGTCATTGTTGCTGTTGATGCTGCTATTGTTGCTACTGCCACTGCTGCTGTTGGTACTGCTGCTGTTTTTGATTATGCTGCTGCTGCTGCTGCTGCTGTGGTGGTGGTTACTGTTGCTGGTGCTGGTGCTGTTGCTGCAGTTGATATTGCTGCTATCATTGCTGCCATGTTTATTGTTTTTGCTCTTATTGCTATTGCTGCTGCTGTTGGTGATGCTGCTGTAGCTACTGCTGCTGTTGCTGCTGTTGCTGCCATGGTTGTTGGTGCCATGGTTGCTGCTGCTGTTGTTATTGCTGTTGCTATTGTTGCTGCTGCTGTAGATGCTGCTATTGCTGATGCTGTTGTAGCTGCTGCTATTGCTGCTCCTATGGCTGCTACCATTGCCGATGCCATTGCTGAAGCTGCTGAGGTTATTGGTGCTATAGCTGCTGCTGATATTGCCACTCCTGTTGTTATTGTTGATATTGCTCCTGATGTTGTTGTTGCTGTTGTTAATGATGCTGCTATTGTTGCTACAGTTATTGATTATACTGTAGTTGTTGGTTTTGCTGTTGGTATTGCTGCTGATGCTGCTGTTGATGTTGCTGCTGCTGTAGTTGTTGATGCTATTGCTTCTGTTGTTGCTGTTACTATTAATGCTGTTGTTGCTACTGTTGTTGCTAGTGCCATTTACACTGCTGAGGCTGTTGATATTGATGCTGCTGTTGCTGTTGCTGCTGTTATTATTGCTGATGCTTTTGCTGGTGTTATAACTGCTGCTGCTGATCATGCTATTGTTTTTGCTGCTGTTGTTGCTGATGCTATAATTATTGTTGCTGCTTCTGCTACTGCTGCTATCAATGGTGTTATTGTTGTTAGTTTCACTGCTGCTGTTGGTACTGCTGCTCTTGTTGAAGATACCATTTTTGCTGCTGTTGCTATTGCTGATGATGATGGTATTGTTGTTGCTGCTGCTGTTGCCATCAAAGGTGATATTGTTGCTACTGCCACTGGTATTGCTGCTCTTATTGATGATGCTGTTGTTATTACTGCTGCTGTGATTGCTTTTGCCATTGCAGCTATTGTAATTGCTGCTGGTGGTGCTTCTGTTGCTGCTCCTGTTGCTGGTGATGTTGCTGCTGCTTTTACTGATGTTGCTATTATTGCTGCTGTGGCTGCTGCTGACGGTGCCACTGCTGCTACTATTGTAGCTGCTGCTATTGCTGCAATTATGGCGGCTACTGCTGCTGCTACTGTGGCTGAAACTGCTGTGATTATTGGTGTGATGGCTAGTGCTGATGGTGCCACTGCTCTTAACGCTGTTGCTATTGTTGCTGTTGCTCCTGATATTGTTGTCACTATTGTTAATAATGCTGTTATTGTTGCTGCAGTTGTTAATGATACTGTAGTTGTGGCTTTTGCTATTGTTATTGATGCTGCTACTGCTGCAGTTGCTGCTACTACTAATGCTGTTGTTGTTAGTGCCATTGCTTCTGATGATGCTGTTGATATTGATGCTGTTGTTGCTGCTGCTATTGCTGCTGCTGCTGCTGCTGCTATTTTTGTTGTTGCTGCTGTTATGGCTGCTACCACTGCTGTTGCTTCTATTGCTGTTGCTGCTCTTGTTCATGATGCTGTTGTTTTTGCTTTTATTTTTGTTGCTGCTGTTGCTGTTGCTGTGGTTGTTAATGCTGCTATTGTTATTGATACTCTTGCTGCTCTTTTGGGCCTGGAGACTGTGGAAGCTCAGTAGATTTGTGTGTCTCCCCACCTGGAGCCTGAGAGGTTTCCTGCACCGTGGGGTGATTTGCTGAGCCTCTGCTAATCCCATCTCTGGTTGGACTGATCCATGAATTCTGAAGGGGAATTCTGTGGGAGCTGAGTCCTCAGGGCAGGCAACACCAGATTGAATATGACTATAAGGAAGGACATTTGCAAAGGGTTGGGCTTGGAACAGCACAATTGAACAAAAAAAGCATTTTTCCAATGAGCATCAGCAACATCCTGGCATTCACAGAGAAAAATGAAGAGAAAACTTCAATCTGGGCAGCTGTTTTCATTGTATTCTTCACTCATCATAACAACTGAAATGTAAATGAACCTTGTAGAAATAATTTCTCAATGTTTGTGTAAGAACTGATAATAGTATGTGAATTTTGCAATCATCATTTTTAACAGATTTAAGTTAATTTAATATTTATTGCGTTCTCTATTTCAGAGGAAGACAGAACACCCTAAAAAGGGAACTTACTTAGGCCAGTTCCACTTCTAGAGGAGAGTTTTTAAACACCCATTCTATTAGCTATTGACAAAGCTCCATCCTTTTTTAAAATGAGAATCACCACTCAATGTGCGGCAAAACCAATCCTGGACAAATCCTACACTGATTTTTTGTGTCATTTATTATCCACTTAATTTTGGTTTTTAGCCTCCTCATAATTTCTTTCTCCCCTCTCCAATTTTACTTCTTACTGCAGACCAAGGAAAAATAAAGAAAAAGTGATTTACCTCCAAATCAAGAAATCAGATGTTCCACTGAACTAAGGAGGGCGCTGCCCAGCCTGGCTGTGATGATGCCAAAACCAGAAGCAGAGATTTCTTCACCCACCTCGGCCGGGCAGTTCAGCTGGACTTGTGCTTGGGCTCTGTCCTGTAGACCTATGGCCAGCAGAATTTGTGGCTCTGCTGTGTAAAAACCCACCCGCAGACCATCCTGCCGAGACACTCTGTTCTCAGCATTCCCAGGATGACACCCATTGACTCACTGGAATTTTTTTTCTAACTTTTTATTTCTTTATTTGATTCCTTTCCCACAACATCAAACCAAAATACACAGAGGAACTGTGGACAAGGGAAACCAAATAGAAGTTGGGAGAAGAGATTTTGTTTTCTTAAGGAAATAAAACACCCAAAGCAATATTAAGTGGACCAGAATATGTCGAGAACTTTGAATAGGGCCTTGCAGGATCATAGGTGAAGAAATTTTTGAATACATTGATTATTATCTAGGATAGACTTGAAAAGAAATTCAAATAAAAGATTCAGAATACAGCTTGAGTCCACAGTAAGTCCTTCTGTATCTGTGCTGGATAAGCACCAATGTCTGCCCTCCATCAAAGATCCTCAGCAGAGTTCAATGGAGAACACAGTTGGCACAAGTCAAATCACAGATGATAACTTTTTGGCCTAGTAAAAAATTCTTGATCTTTCACTTAAACATTATCTATTGGCTTTTTAATATTTAAAAAAAAAAAAAGAAAATTTAGCTCTCTTCACCTCTCCACTCATCCCAAAACACTTCTCTCTTACCTTCAAACTGCTTTATCACGTTTTTATTAAATCAGAGTTGATCCTCACATCCCTGTGGCTACGTGGCTGCTACTGACAGCTGAGGCACAGTGTTTGTGGCTTTCTGCCTTTCTGCCTTTCCTGAATCTGTATTGTTGTTGTTATTTTGTTTTATTTCTTTTTTTTTTTTTTTTGAGCATGAGGAGGATCGAGGATTGAAGCCAGGGGCACTTAACCACTGAGCCACATCCCCAGCCTTTTTTATATTTTGAGACAAGCCCTCATTAAATTGTTGAGGCTGCTCATAATCCTCCTACCTCAGCCTCCTAGACACTGAGATTACAGGCGTGTGTCACCACATCCGGCAATTGCTTTGTTTTCTATGTATCCATCATTAATTCTTCCCAAAACTCTCTGAGAGAACAATACCCGTGCTCTTGATGTATTCACATACATCGCACACTGGTTTCTTGTCTTACATCTCCCCACCCCCTGCATCTCTGAGAGCCTGGAGCTACTGGTCTCCCCACTCTGTTTGGGCTGGTGAATCTTCAGCCTCCCGCACAGTCACTGGCCTGGGCTCTCCTTTCCCCCTTCCTGAGCATGCCCACTGCCTTTTTCTTATGTTAGATGCCCTGTCTATCTCCTGGATCCCAAGATATCCTCTTTTTTTTAGTTTCTCCCCGTATTTTGAGGAAGCACATCTTCTAGTTGTATATTAGTTCATTTTTCCATTGCTATAAAAAAAATACCTGAGACTGAGTACTTTATAAAGAAAAGAGGTCTGTTTTGCTCACAGCTTTGGAGGTTGAAAGCGCAGCACCAGTTCAGACTAGCGCCCCTTTCGTGCATCGCATATCTAAGATGGCATCATGGTAGGAGCACGCGTGAGAGGAGCAGTGACATGGCGAGGAAGAAGCCAGAGAGCAGGGAGGCACAGGTTCCGCTCTCTCATAGCAGTGCTCTCTGAGAACAACCAGGGTCCTCCAGAATGACACTAGTGCCCTCCAGGGGCAGCAACCCAATGGCCTAACTACCTCCCACTAGGCCCCGCCTCTCAAAGGTCCTATGACCTCCCACATCACCACCCAGAGGACCAGGTTTCCAGCAGAAGAAACCACAGGGACGCACTCAAACCCTGTCCACGCCACCAGAAACAGCTTCCCGAGAACGAGTCCCACCGTCCTTTATTTCTCTGCTGTCACACCAGGTGTTGAAACCTGCACCCTACATTTCCAAGCCCTCTGCCTCCTGCTTCCTCTAAGGCTCTACCAGTGGGCAGCACTGGCCCAAGGTAGGAAGGAAGAGAGAAGCCATTCCCCCGCAGCAGGCCGGACCGTGGCAGCCGCAGAGCATGGTCCAGCCCTAGCAGCGGCAGCTGCAGCCAACCTACCACCCCCAGCTCCAGAGCACAGACAAGGCCCTGGGCCCCACCAGGGCCAGTCCTGGTCTTTGCCTCCTCTGTCCAGCCTCCTTCTGCTTTCCTCTCTACCAGCGATTTTATAAGGAAGCATCTTATTAAATTGCCTCTATTTAAGAAACCTGGACCGGTTTCTCATTCAGTGTCTAATCACTGATTAGTCCTCTACTCGGTAGCGTGGAGAGACCCAGGAACTAGATGCCCAAATGAGGGAATCTGGTGTTTGTTCAGTGACGTGACTGGGACTGAACACATCGATGGCCTTATTGTCAGTGGCAAAGGGGGCGACCCTGGAGAATGGCCAGCATGGACGGTGTCTCTCCATGGTGTATGGCCGGGGAACACGAATGAAATGATTAGCTGTGGTTACCTGAAATCAAGCACCTATTCCAAGCTGGACTTGGGGAGCCTGAGACACGTTGAATCTGATCAATTTTGTGGGAATTGTGACCACAGAGTCTCAGGTAGGGCTGGCTATTTCTGACTCCACTAGAAACATTATAAAACCTTTAAAATACCAAGCAAGGCATTGTCGGAGAAGAAGACAGCTCCCGGTCATGGCCCTAAATGAAATTCCTGAGTTTTGTAGAGTCTAGGCTCTAATTTGCAAACCAGCAATTTTAGAAAAGATCTGAGAGAATTAAAAAAAAAAAAAGAAAAGATCTGAGAGAATATTTCCATGATTTACAACAAAGTAGGGCCTCGTGAGAACAAAAATCCAAGAGAGATAAAGCAAAAGACTGCAATTTGACTACATAAAATGAGACAAATAAAGCTAGTGATGCTGTACCCACAGATGTCCAAAGAGGAAATCTGGATGATCATAGATGTGGAAAATATTTGCACCACATATAAAATATCCAAAGGACTAATAGACAAAAGAAATAAAGAACTACTAGAAATCAATGAAGAAAAGTCTATCAGACAGAGGGAAAAATGATCCAAGAGTAGAAATAATCATTTACAGAAGATAACAGAAAATGTGAGTTAAGTCATAGAAAATATGTACATCCTCCTTGTTAGGGAAATACAAACTAAAACAACGACAAAATTTTTCACTCATCTGATTAGTAAAATTAACAAAAATTAGTAATATTGAATTTGGGAAAGGGTATGAGGAAGCTTTCATATATTTGTGGAAAGAATATTGACTGTGGCATTCTTTTAAGAAAGCAGTTTGGCAGTGTGCCCCCGTGTCACAAATGTGCACCTCTGACTTTACCATTTCACTGTGGGTATCTATCTATGAGAAATACAAATGTACACAGAGAAACTTTGAGAGACATTTGTTGAATCCCTTATAGGTTAAATCAAAAATAAGAAATAACCAAAGTCCACAAATATGAGGAATGTTTAAACCATGCTGAATCCACTCACCAGTCCAAAGGAAGGGAAAAGGCCTACACATGCTCCATAGAAAGACGGCCCAAGGTGAGTGTTAGAATACTAGTGTGAGAAAGTTCAGGTGCTCAACTTACTGCTGGCCCAGAGAGGGGTTGTTTGGGCCCGAGCAGCGGATAGGGAGGGATTTTAGACTTTTCTGTAGGCATTGCATTTTTATGGTTTTGTGTACATATTCGTGTCACATGATCATGTTACTTTTAAAAATAAATGATTAACCCTGGAAAGCAGTTATGAGGTTTCTTAAAATACTAAAGGTGCACTTACCCTATGACACAGCCCTGCACTCCTCAGCATTTATCCCAGAGAAATGGAAATGTTCCCCAAAAATCCCACACACAATTGCTCAAGGCGGTTTAAAACTGGAAACAGCCTAAATATCCCTGCTGGGTAGGCTATAAAGAAAAGTGAAATGACCGGGCCTGAGGATTCTGAGCAGACAAATCCAGAGAGGCCTCACAAGTGACCTTGACCTTGCTCAACTTGCAAACATAAATGAAACTTCGCTTGAGCTGGTAAATGATTGCATTCAAACCAGAACTGAAGCTCCGCCAACCAGCAGCAGCCAATGGACTTATAATTGTACAACCAAGGGCTTTTCAAAGGGCTGGATCAAATAAAGCAATTGTGCAGCCATAACCGATGGGGAGCTTCCTTTCATCGCTTGTGTGTTCATGCTGTGAGCTTGTCCCTCACACTTCTTCACCGGGCCCTGATCACTTCTGGTTTGGAGCTGTCCAACCCATGAATCACTATTCTCTTCGACTCTTTAACATTTCACTGTGTCTGACTTTACCTAGTGACATGGTGAGTGGTTAAACAAACTGATAGACCCAGCCAAGGATACCACTCAGCCCAAACAGAGACAAGCTGTTAGTAATACCCACATGGGAGAGAATCTCAAGGGCATCATGGGAGTGACAAAAGCCAGCCCAGAAAGGTCATTCTTGAAATGAACTCTGGAGAGTTGGAAAACACATTAGTGGGTGAGTATGGAGGTGGCCATGTACATCTACCCACGCATGTGATGACACTGAGCTATGGCCCCACATCACACCCATGCCTGTTCCTGATTTTCCATGTCTGTAATTAAATAAGCTTTAACCACATGGGGTCAAGGGCACCAGGGATTTTTCTGTGCTACCTTTGCAACTTCCTGTGAATCTATAATTATTGCAAAATTAAGATTTAAAAAAAATAGTGACAAATACACTATTTTTTAAAAAATGTAATGCCATAAAGGCCCAGAAGAGCTATTTCTCTATAGTGCGACATCTCAAAGATATCCATCAATGGTAGCTTTGAAATCTGAACAAATCTATCATTCCTCTCCCCAGAAGAATACCAGCACATCTGCACCCATGTGCACAGACTTGACAGATCCTTCGATCAACTAAGAACTCTTGCACAGAGTTCTTATCGTACAGTGATAAGTAAACCCCAGCCCCCAGCCAAACCCAGTCCGCTGCCTGTTTGTCAAATAAAGTTTCATTGGCACACAGCCCTGCCCATTTATTTATAGACTGTCTGTAGCTTCGAATGCAAATGCAAGTGTAGGGCAAGTGCACTCTGGGGACCTTGACTCGGACTTGTTAGCTCTTAAGAGCAAGCTCTGTGCCCTTCCCCACCCTCCCACTCCCTCCCCTCAAATGGTCTCAGGTCTTATCTGAGAAACCAGGTGCAGGTATAGCCAGGGTGCCCTCCATGACTCTCCAAGGACTGACAGCATAAAACCCAGAACTGCTGAGGAGTCACCAGTACAGCACCTTCCCGGGACCTTCCCTGTCACCCATGTGATCTGTATCCCTGCATCTTCAAGAGACTGTGTTGGCTTATCAGTGCCCAGCCCATCCCCAGCCCAGGCCAACCTGCTCATGCAGGAGGCAGCATCCACAGGGAATAGCAAAGCTGTTCAGACAAGCATCTGACACCCTTGGTCAGTGCTGTGTCCCTTGGCCCAACAAAGTCTGGTTCTATTGCAGTTGTGTCTGTATCTGATTCTTCTGATGGAGACCTCACATAAGAGCCCACAGAGCCAGCGACACAGCCTGCAGGAACATTGGAGAAAAGAAATAATAAGAGCCCAAGGAAGGCAGTGGCTTCATATTCTTTTATTTTATTTTATTTTTTATTGGTTGTTCAAAACATTACAAAACTCTTGACATATCATATTTCATACATTAGATTCAAGTGGGTTATGAACTCCCATTTTTACCCCAAATACAGATTGCAGAATCACATCGGTTACACATCCACATGAAAAAAAAAAAAAACAGGAGAGAAATGAATTACAGTAGATGGGGTAGAGAGAGAGGATGGGAGGGGAGGGGAGGGGGATAGTAGAGGATAGGAAAGGTAGCAGAATACAACAGTCACTAATAGAGCATTATGTAAAAAAGTGGCTTCATATTCCAAACTGCGTTTCACTTCTGTGCACCTGAAATTAAACACAGTTTGCTGGCAGACAAACAAGTAAGTAGGCAGGGGGGCGGAAAGGTGGTACTTTAGAAAGAATAACAACAAACTACACATCAGTTTTGCCAGTGGGCTGTGCTCAGAGCTCTGAGGACCACCTGATAGATTCCTCCCCACAGCATGGAGTTGAGGCAGCCCTTCTCCCTGGAACCAGGGAGCCTGAGCTGTCTTCAGGGCGTGGTACCCCAGCTGGGAGGAAACACGTGAATGGAAGGCCAACAGCCTACTCCAACTGCAGGTTTCAAGACACGCTAGGAAAAGCCCTCTTATCCAAAGCCCATTTATCAAAAAGTAATATTATTTTAATTTAATCTTAAAAGTAAATATATATTTCTTTGTCATCAACGAAGGAAAAAGATCTTTTCTTTAAACGTTAAGTCTTTCAGTAATAGTTCTATGTGCTCTTTCTTGCATCAGCCACATTTACTCTCTGTTTCTGATTTACAATTTGGGTTTCTTAAAAGCAGAACTAGAACTAGAAACACTCGGACACATTCCAAATCCAAGACCCCAGGCTTCTTCAGCACTTTTTCTTTCCCGTGTGCTCTGTCCACAGTTGACTTAGACAATACTTCTAGTGATTTCCATCTTAAGAAATTATAATAAAAGTGAAACTCACTTTTACATTCATATTTCATCAGGTGACATAATAAGTAATCAAATTAGGTTATTATAATATCAAGTTTAATGAGGACAAACAGAGTTGGAAGGAAATCCAGTTAAATCGCGGCCAGTCTGAAACTCACTGGGTATTTTTTGGGGGGGAGCAGGCTAGAATGTGGCCATCTAGCCACACATGGGGCTCACAGCTGGTTTTACAGAAGGGGGGTCCCGTGAGTGGCTAAGTCAAGGCGGGTTGTATATGCCTAAGGCTGTTGTTTTAAACAAAACATGGAGTTGTTATTTACCTCACAAAAGTCTCAATAATGGGAACTGTTATGGTTTAGATATGTCCCCCAGAATCTCATGTGTGACAAAGAAAGTTTAGAGGTGAAATGATTGGATTATGAGAGCCTCCACCTAATCAGTGTGCTAATCCACTTGAATGGATTACTGGGTGGTGACTGTAGGCAGGTAGGGTGTGGCTGGAGGAGGTGGGTCACTTGGGACATGCCTTTAAGGCTTATATCTTGTCCTGGTTGAGTCTCTGCTTCCTGATTGTCAGGCCCTGACTCTCCTCCCCCACACCCTTGCACCTGCTCTGCCTCTCCCTGAGCACAGCACCACGGAGTTGGCCGTCTGAGGACTGAGCTGGGTGACTGTGAGCCCCAAATAAACTTTTCCTTCTCTAAGATCGTGCTTGTCAGGTTTTGGGCCACAGTCATGAAAAAGCTGACTAAAATAAGGAGAATGCCACCAAACCCCAAGAATAAGGCTCTCCTCCCCTTTCCTGGTCTGACAGATCTGAGCAAGGGTCCCTGATGGCCAGGTCTGTGAAACAACCACGTGGGCCCGCCTGAGTTCTGGGATCACAAGTGACTAGAAAAAGACCTCATTTGCAACACAGTTTCCTCTACTTAAATCATGAATCATTCTTACAAACTACAAAGATAACAAATGTTGAAGCTGTTGGCAATAAAATTCCATTGAGAAAAGGATCCACAGGGGCAGTGAGGACCCTGAACGGTCAAGTCCAAGGTGGGAAGAGCGCCAGTCTTGGGCTGACGTGGTCCTTGAGACGTCTCTGGTAACATTTTCTTTAAGGCAGGAAAAGGTGGAACAAGAGGCTGTCCTTGTCACCTCTCTCCAGCTGCTAGAATTTTCCAGTTTGTGTGACACTATGTTCCCTCACTCTGCCTTCACTGGCTGGCCAAGGACGTGACAAGCCTGGCCCATAGTGTTTTTCCTCAAGCATGTCCCCTCTTCAAGGATGGGGCCAGAAAAACTGAGAGGCCCCCTCCCTGGTTCCTCTTTTCCTCTCTGTCCTCTCCCCACCTGCCCCAGGTGGTCCATGGATCCCTGTCCCATGACACTGGCCAATCTCGCCTCCAGCCCTCCATCAAAAGACACCAGCAGCACGTCCAGAATCTGAGGTCTCTGTTGGAGTGACTCGTGGGCCAGAGCACCTGGATCCTGTCAGCCAACCTGCTGTGGAAACTGTCCCCAGCCCCAGGGCCTTCAGATATCTGAAGTGCTTTGTGCCCAGAGGCTCCTAAAAAGCAATGGCTCACACGCTAGGCCTGAGGCCATGGTCCCACATCAACCAGAACTCTCCAGCCCCAAACTCCCTTCCCAGCTCTGGGATTCAGCTGGTGGTCTCTGGCAGACACCGTTTCCCACTGGAATTTTACTGCCCATGTCTAAAATGTTTATCCTCTTTTAATCTGGATAAAAAGAACTTTGGAAAAGTCCATATTTGCATTTTGTTTGCCCATTTTCTAAGCCATCCTTTATCCCCAGAAAGGTCACAAGCTATCCACAAACTGATGTCCAGTAACTATTTTTCGGTGAGGTGCAGGGACCCAGGAGGAGAGAAGCAGAGACCCAGCTCCGGAGCATGGTTGAGGGGCCACGATTCCAACGCACCACACCGCACCACACCGCAGAGCCTGACCTAGGGCCGTGCTGTGTGCACAGCCTCGGGTAACGTCAGGCCATGGCCGCGCTCGCAGAGGGGTCCTGTGGGCAGTTTCTATTTGCAGTCGTTGCTGCTGAACAGTAATGCCAGCATCGCGGTAGGCACCCGGGAGGGGAACAACTTGGATGTGGGTTTTGATTTCACAAGGGACAGAGGCAGGGAACTGAGCAATGACAGCACAGTGCCATCAGAGCCCCCTGGGAGGAGGGCAAGAGCCCGGCTCACTGGCCTGCTGGGCTGGGACTGTCTCCCCGGGGAGCTGACATTTAGCTCCAACATAAAAATCAGCAGCGTTTGCCAGGCAAAGAGCTGAGCCAGGGCCAAGCGGTTGGGAGCGGGACGGGGAAACGGACAGATAAGCAAGAGATTTAGGGAGAAAGAAGTGATGCTGATTAGATTGGGCAAGAGGTTACATGAGGAATTCTAGACCAGTAGAGCAGAAACTAACCACAAATGCTCAGCAGCTTGGGGTTGTTTAGAAACTGCAAAAGTCCAGAGGCAGCTCCAGGCACCCTGAGGTCATTAGTATCTTGGAGCATGATCTAAACAACTTTTAAACATAAAATAATCAGAAAGCGTGAAAACAGTTGGAATACATTAAATGGACTCTTGGAGAGAGCAAGGGAAAAAAAAGACATTTTAGAAACATTTCCGTCCAAAATAGTTTAACAAAGAAATAGAGTTAAAATTGCACTTAGGGGTAATTTTTAACTTTCTTCTTTATAATTTTGGCATTGTATCACTTTTCTGTAATTCATGTTTTAAAAAAAAATATTAGACCAGGCACAGTGGCGCACACCTGTAATCCCAGCAACTCAGGAGTCTGAGGCAAGAGGATCCCAAGTTCAAGGCCAGCCTCAGCAACTTAAGAAGACCCTGTCTCAAAATAGAAAATAAATAAATAAAAGGACTGGGGATACAGCTCAGTGGTAAAGCACCCCTGGGATCAATTCCTAGTACAAAAATCCACACATATTTGTTAGAGCTGGGAATTTAGCTTAGTGGTAGGGTACAGATTGGGCAAGAAGTTATATGAGGTATTCAAGACCAGTAGCATGAGCAAGGCCCTGAGTTCAACCCCCTGCACAGCACAAAAAAAAGGCAATGTTGGAAACATAAAAAAGCATGCATGTGATCCATGGGTTATAATGAGGGATCTCCCCCTGAATTGGTCCCTCAGCCACCCCTCACCACCCCACAGGGAGCCACTTGTCCAGCTTTGTCCATATCACATCCTTGCTTTTGATCCTTACTGCAAATGCAAACAAGCAGCCGTGTGTGTGTGTGTGTGTGTGTGTGTGTGTGTGTGTGTGTGAACATCTAAGTGAAGTTCAGTGGAGTTTGACTTAGTTTTTTAAACAGATTTGTTTAGCCATGGGATGGCTGATTGCCTGGGTTAAGAGACGCCCAGATGCATGGTTTCTGGGAATGTCTGCAGAGGTTTCTCCAGGAGAGACTGGCATTGGAATCAGTGCACTGGGAAAGGTCTGCCTCACCCAACGGACAGCCCCATTCAGCCAGCTGAGGGCTGGGAGGGAGCTGAGAGGCGGAGAAAGGTGGGTTCTCTCTCTCCTGAGCTTGGGACATCCACCTTCCCCTGCCCTTGAACTCCAGGCTCCCAGGCCTTTGGACTCTGGGACTGGCAACGGCGGCCCCTGGGTTCTGGGGCCTTCAGCCTTGGTTTAAGAGTCACACCTCTGGCCACTTGGACCTGAGGCCTTGGGACTTAAACCGATCCTTGCTACTGGCTTCCCAGGGTCTCCAGCCTACCACAGCCGCCCAGGACTGCTCAGCCTGCACAGTGCTCAAGCCGATTCCCTGACAGGTCCCTTCTCACATCGCTGCAGGTAGGTGGATATTCTTCTGGTTTTGTTACTCTGGAGAGCCCTGATTTATACAAGGTATAATTTTCATACAAAGGGAAACCACACAGATTTATTTACACTTTGGTGATTGTTCATGCACTTGTGAAATCATTACCACAATCAAGATAATGAATGTATCCATCACCCCCAAAGTTTCCTCCTGCCCCTTCTATCCCCCCCACTCCCCACTGTCCTCAGGACACCACTGGTCAGCTTTCTATCAACACAGACTCATTTCCTTTTTCTAGAAAGTTCAGTTGAACCATACTCTTCTTTCTGTCCACTCAGTATAATTATTTTGAGATTTGTCATATGTTGGTGCAGGTATCAATGGCTCATCCTTTCTGTTGATGAGCAAATATGTTTCTGAAACTCATAAAAATAGTATATTATATGCAGTTTTCCCTGAAGTGCTTCTTCACTCACTCATAGGAAGGCAGTTTATTTGGGAAACGACCCTGGAATGGGACACAAGGGAGCAGGAAAGAGAGAGAGGAAAGGACAGACGCCCCTTGGAGGGCGCCTCCTGGTGGTCACTCGCAGTGGTCTCAGTTGAATTGTAGGGTAACCTCTTCAGGAACACGCAGAGCCCTTTCTAAACTGGCCTCCTGAAGAATACCAGCCCCCACCTGCTCTCCAGGCTGAACGTGGTCTGTGTTTGTTTCAGTGGAAATAGCTGTAGTTTCTCATAACCCATTATGGGAACCAGTGTGGGTTTTTTTTTTTTTTTTGTACATTTATATATCCACGTTCCTGATGATTGAAATTGGGATTGCTTTCTGTTTTTGTGCTTTACAAACACTGCCACTCTAAAAAAACCTGTGCCTGTCCCCAGGGCCTGTGTGCAGGATTCCATGGAGCACAGACCTGGAAATAGAATTGCACGGTCATAAGATGTGGGAGTGGTTCCCAACGTAATAGAATTCTAAATTATTTTTGGAAGGTTTGTGTTTGCACTCCTACCTGCAGTGTCAAAAAGGTCCTGTCATTGCACATGTGCAGTAACATCTCGTATCCTAGCGCCAGTCTGGTGTTAGCAGACTGTGTCCCGCTGCCAGTTGGAGTGGAGCTCTTCCATCCCGCGGCCCTAGTGTGCGCTTCCCTGCTTGCTGACGAGGTTGGGCGTCCTCTTGCATGTCTGCCTTTCTGGCTTCTTTTCTGTGAAAAGTCTTCCCATGGTTTCTCCCACAGGGTTGTTGGTTTCTTCTTATCTATTTTGGATACTAATATTTATCAGTTCGAAGAGTGGGAAATATCTTCTTTGAGTTAGTGACGTGGCTTTCGCTATCCTTTGATGTCTTTAGATGAAAGGAAACTTTGAGTTTGGCCGCTGGAAGCCTCCGTCTCCTCTCTGGTGCCTGTGGGACTGGGGTTCAGGGGATGCTCCCACTATCAGACTGCACCGTGCCCGTGGTGAGGAAGTGTCCCTCCTGCCCTGGGCACTTTGCCACTCCTTCTGGGGGCTTTCAGGAGACAGCTGTTTCCTGAACTCTTCTGTCTTCTCCACTACCTTCCCATCCTGCCTCCCCCGCCCTGGCAAGACCCATGAGCCTGTGGTGAACCTCCACATCCAGACCACCCAGCCTCCCCAACTTTTTCCTCCTCTTCAGGAGTGTATTAGCAGTCCCGGGCCTCTGGTGCATGAATTCTGTCAAGTTCCCCTCAAAAGTCTATTGGGATTTATTGAAATTGTTTTAGATCTATAAATCAAAATTGGAAGAATTGATATCTCCATGGTATAAAACCTTCTGATTCATGAGTATCGTTTATCTATACATGAATTCAATCTTCTCTCATATCTTTCAGTGAAATTTTAGTATTTTTCCCCACAGTGTTGCCAACCTTACATTTATTTCTACATATCTAGTTTATTTTTAGGTATCGTATAATTGTTGCTGTTATTTTAAATGGTATGTTTATGAAATTGTGTTGTTTTGTGTTGCTGCAAGTATATAGAGATGCAGTTGGTTTTGGGGTACCTGTTTCATTATTCCCAATGCTTTGTAGAAGCTTTTTCATTTTCTATGGCGTGCCTCATGCTATCTATGAATAATGACAGTGTTGTTTTTAGTTTTCTATATTAAGCCATGTTTCTCACAGGACACTGGCCAGGACCTTCAGCACAGTGCTGAACCACTGGTGAGGGTGGTATTGCTGCCTTACCTGGATTGTAAGGAAATAATTGTGATGTTTCTTCACTATGAATGATAATCCCCGTGCATTGCTGGCCAAGGCCTTTTACAGGCTACACAACTCCCTCTGCCACCCTTTTTTTTTCTCATTTACTAAGCATTTTCCCCACTTGATCTTTTAACATGGTTATAGTAGTTCCCCTTATCTGAAATTTGACATTCCTATGGTCAAACATGGTCTGAAAATAAGTGGAAAAATCCACAATTAAACCATTTTAAGTCTTAAAACACTGAGTAGACTGATGGCTCACAGTCCCACCCAGGGCACAAATCATCCCTTTGTTCACTGTATCCATGATGTATACACTACCCACCTACTAGTGACTCAGTAACCATGGTTTATTAGATGGACTGTTGTTATAGGGTTGCGAGCTTCTGTGCAGGTGGCCCTTATTTTGCTTAATAATGGCACCAAGCCACAAGAATAGTGAGGCTGGCAAATCAGACATGCCAAAGACAAACTGTAAATTACTTCTTTTAAGTGAAAAGTTAAAGTTTTTCAAATCTCCTAGACTGGGGTTGCCAAGAACTACACTAATTCACTATTGTTAACCTCTTAGTTAATGCATCCATTAAATTTGAATTTTAATGCATCCATTAAAATTTATTAAAATATGTACACATAGGAAAAAATATAAGCACAATGTGTAGGGTTTTGTTATATGCATGGATTCAGACATCCACCGGGGGTCTTGAACCGTAGTACGCCACAGATAAGAGGGGACAACCATGATGATGTTTATAGATTGCCTAATGTCAAACCACTCTTGAATGTCTGTGACCAACCTAACTTGGCCATGCCATTATAGTGGTATGAATTATTAGATCTGGTCTGCTAGCAGTTGTTTAGAATTTTTCAATCTTCATTAGTGAAGAGAAGTGATTTCCGGGTTCCCTCTCTCCTGGGGCCCACAGCTGATCTTGGAATGGTGGCTGCCGTGAGCATCACAGATCTCTAGCAGCCAGAGTAAAACTAACCAAGGCCGGGGCAGGGCTGAGCCTCGCTTCCCACAGGCTGCTCTCGGACCACGGCTGAGCTTACAGGGACACTCAGCACTCCATTCCTGAGCAACTTGTCTGACTGCTGATTTTGCAAAGCCCCTGCCCAGGAATCCAGGATGCTGCTCCCACTTCTCTCCACCTCTCCTTCCCTGGCATCACTGTGGAATAGCCTCCACCAGCTCCTCCCCATTTTATAGCACAAGTGTTTCCCCTAAGAAAATTCATGATTTTTCATTTCACCTTAGTATTTGCTTCTTAGAAGGCTCAGATTAGCACACAAATAAAGACAATGGTGGCTTTGTAGGGGAATATCAGCAAAGGGTTGCAAAATCTGCTCCCTGAAAACTTGTTGACCTGGCCTGCCTATCTAGCTGGGTGTCTTAGTCCGTTTTGCTTTAACAAAATACCTGAGGCTAGGTATTTTATAAAGTAAAAGGATTTATTCGGCCCACAATTCTGATGGATGGAGCAACCCCACAGCTTAGCACCAGTGTTCTGGCAAGGGACTGTGGCTGCATCACAACATGGTAGAAAAATGGAAAGGAAAACCATCACATGCAGAAGAGCCAAGCACATACAATGGCTTGCTTCATAACAACCTGCTCTTGAGACAACTCACTCACTCTGTGAGACCAGCATCAATCCCTGCTGAAGACAGTGCACTGGTGCCATAATTACCTCCCATTAGGCCCCACCTCTTCAAGGTGCCACCACCTGTCAACATGGCCATGCCAGTGACGGGCTCCCAGCCCATGAACTTTGGACAATGCACTCTAACTATATCCACAGCACTGGTCTTTCTTGTATTTTCTAAGTATCAATCCACTCACTCATTTCACCTTACTGCTATAGCAATATTTCAGCTTCTATTTCTTCTTGAACAGCTTTGATACCTAGGTTTTCTAGGCGTCTGTCCATTTCACCGAGTTTTCCAGTGCGTTGACGTAACTTGTGTGGAGTCTTCTCTTATTGTAATAACCACCCAGCTCTGTGATTATGCCCCCTTTTCAACGGTGACGTTATTCATTCATGCCTTCTCTCTAATCTCATCAGAGGTTTGTCTATTTTGTCCATCTTTTCCAGAAGCCAACTTCTGGCTTCCTTGATATGGTCTTTTGTATTTCATTATTTCCTGCTCTTTCTATCCATTTTTCTTTGGATTTGTAACAAGATTCTTTTTCTCATCCTCTGTTCCATGATGCCAGAAGCGGAAGCTTCCTGTGTACCCAAGAACAATGTTTGGCTTTTGATTCAACATCTTCGTCTTTCACAAAATTCATCCTTCCTTTATAATTTGTCACCTGGGGTTTTAAACCCCTGCAGTTCTATCTTTGGGCTATATAATTTGAGTGTTCGTGTCATTATATTTATATAGACTTACAAATCTTTCTTGACCATGTTTGACCCAATAACCTTAGCGAATATCTCCCATTCCATGTTGTTGAAGGAAACGGTACTTCCCCCAAACAGAATGAAGTACGAGATCCTTACTAGTCAAACCTGTTAGTCACCAAGGAAAGATCTTGCAAGTTCTTATTCGGTAAGAAAAAATGAAGCATTGTTACTTAATAAATGTTTATCTGAAAAAAAAAACCCAGGTGTTTACTTGAGATTTCTTTGGATATCAAAGACTCAAGCCCTTTTGACATGTTAGGAAACAATGATAATTCAGTTGACCCCAAAACAAGGTAATCCTTAAAAATTGGAAAGCAAACACACGAAATAGACTGTTTGTTTTTATTCATCCAAACCAGATGATGACAGTAAAAATCTGGTAATAATGACTTTAAAATATGACTTTAGAATAACATGTCTTATTTCTCTGACATAATTTCAAGTGTTAAGAACTGAATTGAATTATCACTTACACATATTACAACCTAAGTACGTCAATGAGATTTAAAAAGATAGCAAGGGAATTTTTGCTATCCCTAGAAACTATTAAAAAGCAAACATTCACCAGCAAGGTTTTCAGTGATGAGCTCTGATGAACTAAACTGGTAACTCTTCTGACAGTTGATTCTGGGATTAAAGCTACAATAAGGCAAATTACCTTTAAGTGTTTGATGCCTTGCAGGACTGGTCTGGCTATGGGGTAAGCTGTCATCAGGATAGGATGAGAAGGCAAAAAGATGGCAAGTTCAAAGCCAGCCTCAGCAACTTAGTGAGGCTCTAAGCAACTCAGAGAGACCCTGTCTCAAAAAATAAAAAAGGGCTGGGGATGTGGCTCAGTGGTTAAGTGTCCCTGGTCCACTCCCCAGTACCTCACCCCACAGAAAAAAAAAATAGGATCAGATGGGACTGAAGCAAGAGAGAGTAAAACACAGAAAAAGAAGGAACATAAGCCCTGCCTGACCTACAGACCCCTGTGACCCCAGACCCCATGGGCCTCAGTCTAAGTCTAGTGGACCTACCTGTGTCTGCATGAGATCCAAGGTTGGAGTATCTTCCCTTCTTGGAAAAGCAAAGGATATTTTAAGAAAACATCTGGAAGGACACTAGTAGCTATCTCACATTAATTTAGGTCCTTGGAAGCCCAGAAGGAATGTAGCAGGGCAGTACCCCAAAACACAAGAGTCCACTAAAGATGGCCGTCAGGGGTGCTGGTGGGCACCAGGGTGGCTGAGTGAGTCATCAGGCATGACTTTAGGAGCTTCTGACTCTGAACTGCTGCTCTCAATGTTCCCAGCAGATCCTACAGAAACACCTCGGCTGGTCACAAAGCACAAGGAGAAAATAGGATTAAAATCATCAGGATAAAAGCAAAAACAGACGTTCTGCAACATGCTCAGCCATGCTGATCTGGCTGACCCTTGTGGTCTCCTTGGCCGGTTGCTGTGCGATACGACATAGAACACGCAGGGTCTCCCCTGCATCATAGAATCCAGCTAAAGGGGACCCTCGAACAAAGAGTTACAGCTCCAGGTTAAAGCAGGAGATCATCCACACCCACCAGAGCAGGAGCTTAACACCAGCATCCAGGAGGAGAAGCAATGTCACTCAGACCTGAGCTTGTAGAGGAGCCATTCAGGAGGACTTCCTGGAGGAAGCTGTGTCTCTGCAGATACGTGCAGGATGAACACAAGTTCACCAGATGGAAGTCAGGTATTTGGAAAACAACCTGTCTTGCCTGTTATTTCAGATTATTTTGCCAGGTATGGAGAAAACTCACCAGAGCCCAGGGTGGCATTTAGCTTATACTTTTTAAAATTGCAAACACACCATAACATTGGCCACCTTAACCATTTTTAAGTGCACAGTTCCGTAGCATTGAGTACATTCAGACTCTTGTGCAATGGTCCTTGTCATCCATCTCCAGAGCTCTCTTCAGCTTGCAAAGCTGAAACTCTGCCCATTAAGTCCTATCTCTCCATCCTCCCCTCTCCTGCCCACCTGGCACACACCACTGATGTCACAGCTCTGTAAATCTGTCAACACTAGGAACCTCTTGGAAGTGAACTCATACAGTATGGGTGTCTTTGTGGCTGGCTTATTTCACTGTGATGTCCCCGAGGTCCATCCATGATGGAGCATGTGTCAGAGTCTCCCTCCTTTCTCAGGCAACGGTCCACCATGTGGATGGACCGTGCTTCCTTCCTCACTCACCGTCTGGGCTGCTTCCACCCTCTGGCTCTTGTGAACAGTGCTGCTGTGATCACGGGTGTGCACATGTCTCTTTGAGACCCACCTCCCATTCTTCAGGGTATGTACCCGAAGCTGAACTACTACATCACACAGTAGTTTTATTTTTATTTTTCTGAGGTGTCTCTCTGCTGTTTTCTGCAGTGACAACTACGCTCCAACAATAGCACAAGAGGATTCCAGTTTCTAGCTGGACCATTTGTGTATATGTGACTATATCGGTGGCCTTTCCAGGAAAGAGCCCCAGGCCTCCCAGAAAACCGCCATGTCTCCTCAAGAATCACACTCCAGAAAAAGCAGAGACTTTCATTTTTAAAAATTTAATAAATCACATTTTCTTCGGTTTCCTATTCATACCCATAGAAGCCACAAACATGTTTTCTCCGATTTTGTTTGACAATATTCATTTGTGCAAATTGTATTTCACAATGACTCATGCACAGAAGCCATTTAGTCTCTGACCACCAACCATGGGACATGACTATGATATTGACTTGTCTCAGAGGTGGCTGTCACCAGGGGAGATTCCCCATGTCCCAGTATGCCTGGCTGGGGTCCTCCAGCCAGGACCAACCTGGCAAGACAGAGTTCCAGCAGACCTGCCGCCTCCACAGGCTCTTCCTTGAGAGCCCTTAAGAACACAGGTGGGTACAAAGTGCACAGAGATGTGTTCTCACCACCAGAAACACGGACAAGTGTGGTTTGGGGCCATAGAGAAGAAGGTTCAGTTTTCTGAATGTCTGTGTCGCCCTCAAATTCATGTGCTGACACCTTAGGAGGCAGGCCTTTGAGAGGTGATCAGGCCGAGGGGGAGCCTCCTGAATGGGGCTAGGGCCCTGGCAAAGAGGCCAGGGGGCCTTTGTCCCGCCATCCTGTGAGCCGAGAGCCCTCGCCTGCCAGGGCCGCGTCTGCTGGTGCCTTGATCTTAGACTTCCCAGTCTCCAGACCTTGAGCAATACATATCTGATGTTTACGAAATTAACTGGTATTTTGTTTTAGCCGCTTTAAGGGAATAAGGCAGAAGGTCGGGGAAATGTCCATGTCTGGCTTTTCAAGGAAAACCAACCACTGGTGCCTCCAGGGGACTCCTCCAAAGCCTAAGCTGGCTGTTTCTGTCTTTCCTCATTGGGAAATGAGCCAGCCAAGGTCAGACTCCACCACGTCATGATCTCAGCTCAAGCACCTCTTAAAATAAAGTGCCTCTGCTCTAGGCACTGCTCTCTGTGGAGTGACCCAGGGAGTAATTCCCTTGACGAGCGGAGAAAGGGACACTCCAGAGAAGGGCTCCTCTCTGCCTCCTTTGAAGGTGGGCCTCAGGGAACCCTGCCAACCTCCACCAGTAGAGCCACTCTGCTAGGCAGCCCAGGAGAGGGGGAGTTGAGAAAAGCTGGGCCCTAATTAAATGCAGCCCCAGGCATGGTGGAGCAAGGGCCCTGAAGCAGAACTAACAAAAGTCACCGTGTTTTGTGAATAAGGAAGAGGGACTTGAGTGGCCCTTGGCTCCAGCTTTGTACCTTCCCTTGCACCCACTGTTGAGCAGTAGAGAGAGGTGCTCAGAGCACAGTGTGGTGGAAATTAGAGGCTGTCCCTCCCACTAGCTGTGTCTGCACATTTTAAGGCTTTTGCTGTGTACACCAGATAGTCCTTCAGAGTGTGCTGCCAACTAATTGCACTGTGGAGAGCAGGCTGGGCAGTCCCCACGTCACTCTATGTGGCGTAGTACAGCGGAGCCCAGAGTCACTCCGTTTTGAAAAGCAGCTGTTTGCCATGAGCTACTGCGTTTTGAATGCAAGTACTGAGGCAGAATGACTTGGGAACTTATCTGGGCAGGAAGATAATCACCAGATGTTGGATGTACAAAGAACTTATCCAAAAGAATAATCCAGGCAGGCCCCGTGAAGCACACCAGTCATTCTACGTCTCAGGAGGCTGAGCAGGAGGACATGAGTTCAAAACCAGCCTCAGCAAAAGCAAGGCACTGAGCAACTCAGTGAGATCTGTCTCTAAATAAAATGCAAAAAAAAAAAAAAAAAAAAGTAGTGCTGGGAATGTGGTTCAGTGGTCAAGTACCCCTGAGTTCAAACCCCAGTACCAAAAAAAGAATAACCCCCTGCTGTGCAGCATAATCATGTGGAACAAAGTACGCTAATCGTGTTACTAATCAAAGATTGCCAGCTATAGAATTATTGGATTAAGTCAGAAGCACATGAACATATGGGCATATCGACTCCATATCAAGAACATGAGGCTGGTGAGCTTATCAGACACATCAGGCCACCAAATGATGCAAAGCCCTCACCTGCAACATGCAGCGGTATGGTGGCACACACAGGCCCATCATCTCATCAGAATCCCTGGGAAATGCAGCTCACTCCCAACTCTGTCCCCGGGCTTCAGTTCAGCTCCATCTCTCTCCTCTGCGAGGCCCTCCTTGTAACTGCCTGCCGTCTGGACCCTCTCCCGGGACAAGCCTCTTGACTCTTGAAACCCTGTGACTACCCTAACACCTCTTAGCTGTTCTGTGGCCTATCCATCATTGGGTAAATTGTGACTTGAGTGTTACCGAGATTAGTAATTGAGACTGGAATGGAATAAAAGAAAATGGTGTCTTACTCATGGCTACCAAGTGAACCATGAGTACTTGGTGAATTAAAACAATGAAAGTTATGCAACTTGTGGATTTGTTGTTATTCAATAAATTCTGACATGGTGGAAGGACACAAACATGTCCCAGCCATGTCAATGGCAAGACTCACTCATAACCTCCACCAGAGAAGGTGGCTTTTCCATAGTGTCATCTCCATGCAGAGTGCATGCTGTCCTGACCCCCTTCTCTCTCTCTCTCTCTCTCCCCCACACACCCACACAAGCACACGTACACACAAACACAAAATCAAAATTAGCATCTTATAGCTGTCTCGTCTGCATTTCTGAGTAGGGATGTTGAACACACTTCTGTGTTTATTGCTAATTTCCTTTTTATTATGGAGTGACCTCTGTCCCCTTCCTTTGGGGATATTCCATTTTCTTTATTAATAGGTAAGAGTCTTTTGCGTATTATTAACTCTTGGAATGACATGTTATCTTCAAATTATTTATTGAAGTTGGTCAATGGCCTTTTTGAGTTTTGTTGGGTATTTTTTAATGTATAGAAATGTAAAAAATAATTAAGTGGACAAATCTAAACTTCTTTTCATAAAGAGTTTTCTAATGCATCTTAGGCTTAGAAGGATTTGCCCAAACTGAATGATGTGCATTGGACCTCCGTGGAATTCTAGTGTTCAAGTGGTTCTATTTTCCATGAATGATTCAGATGCATTTTGATGTTGACTGGAAGGTACTGATGGAATACTTCAGTCTCTGGGGGGTGCCCAAGTCTGCCCCCAGGCTTGAGGGTAACTTTGGTTAAATTAGGTGTCGTGGGTCTTGAACTCTGGAGATCAGCATGGATGCGTCCCCCTGTGCCCGGCCCCTTCCCTCCCAGCCTCCCTGGGACCACCCTGCTCCTGTGGGGTCGGGCTCCATCTGGAGCATGGGGACAAATCAGACGGAAGCGCAGTTCCACGTTTCCCTCCTCCGTCTGTGCACTGGTGCCTACTGCTTCTGCTCTCCCCATTCATCCATCTTTGCCTCCTTCCTCCGAGTTCTAGCAGAGCTCCTCGAGCTTATCTCCCAAGTCCATAATTTTGTTTCCATTATTTTCAGCCCATTCTTTTTTCGTCTGTTGCCTTTCCAGATTTTTTTCCTCTAAAAGCAGTATATTCATCAGCAAATTCGTCTCTTTCTATGACTTCCTTGTCTTCTAGAATCTTGGTGAAAACATGAGTTAGAGATTTTTCTAAGGATTTCTCCTCTCTTCCATTTTTAGAAGGAACCACTTGCTATGACATCTCAGGTTTGTCACTTTGTCTTGAACCCTTGAAACTTTATTAATATTTGACTATTTTTTCTCTGCTTATTTCCTTTTTTGCAGGTATATGGATGGATGGATAGATAAACAGATAGATGGATATCTATTATTTCAGAATTAGGAGATGCAATGGTTTTCTGGAGCGTTTCTTGATGACACACAATGCTGCCATACAAGACTCATGGGCTATTAAGTGGACGACCTTTTGGACACAGACCTGAGGCAAATAGAAAAGTTTAGATCTGCTGCAGTTTTCCTTTCCCACGTGTTTTGAGGCCCACTACTAGTTGGGCTTGACACCCATCTCTGGGCCAGAGAGCTCTTTGACTCTCTTGCTCACAATAAATGGAAACATCAGCTGAGCACAGTGGCTCATGCCGGTAATCCCAGCATCTCAGGAGACTGAAGCAGGAAGATCACAAGTTCAAACCATCCTCAGCAAAAGCCAGGTGCTAAGCAACTCAGTGAGACCCTGTCTCTAAGTAAAGTACAAAACAGAGCTGGGGATGTGGCTCAGTGGTTGAATGCCCCTGGGTTCAATCCCCAGTCCAAAAAAAAAAAAAAAAAAAAAGATGGAGATGTCATGGTATCAAGAGGCTGATCCTGATTAAAGAATTCCATTTGCTTGGGTTTTTTTTTTTTTCCAGATTAAATGAAATGCCCAAACAATATCTCCATGTGACTTGCTCTTCTTTCAGCCTTTGCTTGGGGATTGGAACCTCTGAGCAGGTCTGAGTGCCGTTTCTGCTAGAGACAAAAAAAATGAAAAAGGTCGATATTTAAGAATTCAGGACCCACTCCAGCAGCTGAGATTACAGAGGCATAAACTCTGGCTTGATACAGAAATTAACTCACAGACTCCCTGAGATTTGATGTCAGTGAACCTCACTAGGCAAGGGCTGAGGCTTACAGTCACTAACCTCTCCCTAAACAGTTTGGGGAATCAGAGCGGTCCCTAAGAAAAAAACTTCAAATTAATGATTAGAAAGTTCCGGGGCTGGGGATGTGGCTCAAGTGGTAACGCGCTCACCTGGCATGCGTGCGGCCCAGGTTCGATCCTCAGCACCACATACAAACAAAGATGTTGTGTCTGCCAATAACTAAAAGAAATAAATATTAAAAAAAAAAAAAGAAAGTTCCTTCCTTCCTCATTAGAAAAGGGGCATCGTGTATTTGTTCATGAGATAAACGTATCAATATTCTCTATTAAAGGAAAAGAGGGACATGGTTACACAATTACTTTAAATTAGCCACTGGGGGTGGACGTGGGGGGGAGGTGGTCAATTGTTTGTCTCCTGTCAACACGTGGCCTGGGGTGCCAGCCTTTGTCTCCTTTGTCCTAGAAATCTCCCTTCCAAAGACAGCAGCCTGAGGTTTGGGCCCTGGAATGCCAGAGGCCTTGTGGTACCCAGAGGTCCCAGAACCAATTCTCCGTGGCTGTTGTGGGACCACTGGAATTACGGTTGGGAGTGTGATCCAGAGGGTGATGAGTTGAGATGTCTAGTAAATCCCAAGATTTCAGAATGGGCTAAGCAGTTCTATCACTTTAAATACTATTTCCAACCTTCTAGAGTAATAAACAGCTCTGTGACTATTTCTGCCCAAGGCACAATTTGGTGACTGGCTGGGCAACAGCTGAATGTGGACATGAGAGTCATCGTTGGGTGATACTCGGGGCTCTGGGACCCCTCTCTCTGCCATCTCCCCTTCCCCCATGTGGACCCAGCAGATCTGTGTTCCAAATTCTAATCTGTCATCTTCCATTCAGACTGAGTTCCTGAAAGATTTGGCCTTGGTTTCTAGTTCATCTTAATTCTGGTGGCTGATATATTTTCATGTGAAATGATCAAGCCATAGACATTGATATTTGAAGTTCTCATCATTTTCTCTCTTCATCTGTTTGCTCTGGATGACGATCAACTTTGGTTTTAAGCTGCTCTTGAGCGGAGAACTCACTGCGTTGTGTTGAATTAACAAAACGGCTCATAAACTTTACTGCAACCCCTTGTGTGCTTTTCCTTGGCACACATGCTGTTCCTTATTCCTTTGAGTATTGTGGACTTGTGACCCTTTTTATAGGCTCGGCTTGTTCCAAATGGCCATTATTATTTCTTTATGATGTGGAATGGTCTCTGCTCAGCTGCCAGGAACCCGCCAACCTCCTCCGTATTTATGCATCAGTGTCGTCTCAACACCACCCTGGACATCTAGGCGTTCGCTCTGCCAAAATGCCGCGTCCGGCCAAGGGAGCCGAGTCCGGCGAGGGACGGCGAGGTTAAAAGACACACAGGACACCAAGGTTCTTCATCCAGGAGTCAATAATCTTTATTGCTAACACACCTTTTTTTATACCCCAAGCAGCAGAAGTGGAAAACTACCCAAAAGCAGGAGGGAGGGGGGAGAAATTTAGTTTCAACATCTATTATTGTCAGGTACCAAAACCTCCCTTAACAATAAGTCCATCAGACCAGAAAAGGTCAAGGCATTCCCGTGGGACACATATGTCTCAGACGGACAAGCAGGAACAGAAAAACCGCAAGTTCGCCATGGCCTTGTGAGCTGGCCACACTGGCATGCAGAACAAACTAGTGGAGGTAGGGCTCCAGGGGCCAAGGTGGACCTGTTGCCAACAAGTCCCCCTCTTTTGTTTTTTGCATGCCAGTGGGAATCAAGTAGCCCCTGTCTTAGGTCGTTCACAGCCCTTGCGATGCTTACCCGTCTCTGGGAAGGCCCCGATTCCCTGGCTTAGGTCGCACAGCAAGCGTGAAAGTTGCCCGTCACTGGGTACTACAAGATCAGCTCAAGGTGTTATGACCTATCAAGACATTATTGCGGTAAACGCTTAACCGTCTCCACCCACGGGACCCACGACCATCACCGCCGAATGGCAGATGTGATTGGACCGAGAGATTAGACAGCAAAGATCCTAATACAGGAAGGCAAGAGGGAGAGGTATGCATAGAGAAAAGATATGGCAGGAGTTCTTCTTTTAAGGAGGACACTCATCTTCGGATAGGTCTGAAGTATATCTCAGAGAGGCGATCATCCATCTTCAAGCGTTGATAGTGAACCTGTATTGGCTTAGAGGCTAAGATATTAATTTGATCCTTAATGAATTGTACTATCTTATTTACAATGCAGGGTCCTATTGCCACTACTAGAAGGAGGCCTAACAATGGTCCCAATAAGGGAAGAAGATAAGGCAAAAATCCATTAAGTCCAGTCCAGAGAGGGTTCTCAAATAATTCCCTCCTCCTTTTTTCTAGGTCTTCTTGGAGTTGTTTAATTTTTGTGCGAACTATGCCAGATTTGTTAGCATAAAAACAGCACCTCTCCCCAAGGGCTAAACAAATTCCCCCTTGATTGGCAGTAAGCAAGTCTAAACCCCGCCTGTTCTGAAGAACTACTTCTGCTAGGGAGTCTATCTGGTCTTGTAAGTCTTTAATGGTTCCCGACAGGGTTTGCACATCATCTAGGATGATGTAGGATTGGAACTGTTAAGTAAAGAAAAGGTAGTTTCTAGGATATCTAATGTATTGGCATCTAAATCAGGAAACTGGGATTTGGGCAATATCAAGGGGTGGTATGTAGGCTTAGGGATCTCCGGCTTTAAAAGCTTAATCACCTGAAGGTGTTTGATAGCATCAGTGGGTCCCCCTCCATCAGAGATTCCGATAGGGGC